AAATTAGTGCAACCATTATGGAAATCACATACACAATGGAGTATTATAAAGTCATAAAGAAGAATGAAGTTATGTCAATAGCAAGAAAATGGATGGAACTGGAGATCATCATATTAACGGAAACAAGCCGGAGTGAAAAAGACAAACTTTGCACATTCTCTCTGCCTTTAAAAATGAGTAACAAGGGCTGGGCACAGGTGGCTCGTGCCTGTGAGTCTAGCTACTTGGGAGGCAGAGATCAGAATTGTTGTTTGAGGCCAGCCCGGGCAAAATTCAAGACCCTATCTCAAAAATATCCAACACAAAAAAAAAGGGCTGGTGAAGTGGTTCAGGTGGTACAGTACCTGAGTTCAATCCCCAGTACCAGGGAAAAAAACCCTTTGTACAACTAATAAAAGATGGATTTTTAAGTAAGTTTTATTGGCATCAGATAGTCAGTTGATCCTATCTTATCAGACACACCAAAACAAAAGACAGACGGGTCAAAGATAAACCTTACAAATGAAACCAAAAAGGGACAAGAAAAAATAGGAGAGACTTTTAAAAAAACCTAAGTGGAAAAAGTTTTTCAAAATAGCACAAAACTTGGCTGGCAGAGTGGCTTGAGTGATAGAGCACCTGCCTAGCAAGTGTGAGGCACTCAGTTCAAACCAGTACTGCAAAAATAAGTAAAAAAAATAATAGCACAAAACCTCAAAGTCATAAAAGAAAGATGGATAATTCTGGCTTTATGAAAAATTTTTTTAAATTCTCTATGGCAAAAATGAAAATAAGTAAAAGTCAACCAGAGGGAAAAATGTATTTCTAACACTCCATAAACAAAAGCTAATCTCCTGAACAGGTAAAGAGTTCTTGCAAGAAAAAGCCTGTCATAAACCATGAACGCATGGACAAAGGATCTGAACTGAAGTTTTGAGAAAGGAAGTGGAAATGGGTCAGGAACATATTTATTCATATAGAACACTGATAAATAGGTGTTTATGACCCATGAATTCAGTGAGATTATTTTCCTCCCATCACACTGGCAAAGACAACACATAACTTTCATTCATTGATACAACCGATGGATGACCCTTTAGAAATACCTATCAGACTTACAACACACGTGCTTTAAAGTTGAGAAATCATGCTTCTTGGAGTGTATCCCTCGGATTCAACGCTTGCAAATGTGAAACGCTGTGCATTTAAAGACATTCATTGCATCATTTTTAATATGGATATGTTGGAAGTAACCAGCCAGATGCAGTCACCTGCGCCCGTGGTCCTAGCTACTTCTGAGGTCCAGGACTTTGAGGCTAGCCTGGGCAAAATAGTGATACTCTAATGAAAAACAAAATGGCTTGGCAGTCAATAAAAAACTAGTGAAGCATTCGTTGGCTCATCACTTATTTACTGACTGCGTTCTCTGTGTCAGGCACTGCTCTAACCCTGGGACAAAGCCCCAAGATGAGAAGCCCCTGCTCTGGTGCAGCCCTGTAACAATGGTGAGGAGTAAATGAACACAAGTCACATGTGGTGCACATCGCAGAGAAGAGGGGAGAGGGGACCAGATGTTGGTGCAGTTCTGCATTTGTAGTGGGGACACCTCACTGCGATGACATTCGACAAAAACCCAAGGACTTAGGAGGAGGCAGGATAGACAGTGTCAGGAAGTAAGGGGAGCCAGCAGCAGGGAACACCTCTATGCTTGGGCTGGCAGCAGCACAGGTTTTTTTTGAGCGGCTATGTGATTCTACTTTCGTTTTTTTTTTTAAATCAGTACCGTGGCTGCTGAGTTGAGAAGAGACTAAGGAGGGAGAAGCAGGAGATCAGATGGAGGCTTCTGTGATAACCCAGGAGAGACTACAGTGGCAGGGGAGGTGCGCTGGTGACCTCTATAATATGGGATGTTCTCCCACACATAGCATCAAACAAAACATACAGAAACACGCAAGCTAGACAAACAAAACCAAGATGCAGAACAGTGTTCCATAAACTAGTACTGATCAAGTCCAGTGTGCATACCATGAAATCCCTTTGGAAGAGTACATGAGAGCCAAACACTGCTACTTCCTGGAGACCTGGGTGTGTAGCAGCAGGGACAATGGGGAGACTGGATCTTTCATTTACGTCTTTCTGCACCTAGTGAATTTTTATAGAGAGTGTGTTGCCTCTCTATAAGAATGTTTTTGAAAGTACCTTTGATATTTGAGAGGAAAATGTTTGCACATTGGAGACACAGAGGATTATTCCAAAGTTTTGTTTACATAATAAATACACTAAGATATTCTGCCTTTAAGGAATTAGGACATTAACCAGGAATTAGGAGTTTCTTTGCCTACCTTCCTCCCCAGTCCCTGTGTACATCAACTTATTTAAGATTCCCTTTTAAACAAAGGGGTCTTGGCTCAAACTAATCAGGGAATCATTGCCTCGTTAGCCTCTGAGGATGCCAAACTCACAAAGAAAGAGGTATTGCAGTGATAAGTGCAGGCCCTGGCTGGAGAATTTTTTACAAGGTTGTGCACAGTGCTTCCTCCTCCTCCTCCTCCTCCTCCTCCTCCTCTTCTTGGCAGTACTGGAGTTTGAACTCAGGGCCTTGTGCTTGCTAGACAGATGCTCTACCACTTGAGCCACCCACAGCTCCATACCATGGTTTCCTGAACTAGGGCATCACTCTGGGTGCTGGGATATGGGGGAGAGGTTGCTGTGTGGCCTGCCTCGTGCTCAGGAGTGGGCTAGTTATTCCAAAATTTTTATTTGTAAAGATTCCTAAAATCTATAACAAACATGGGCAAAGGCCATAAACAGAAGAGGAAACACAAACTGTCAATGAGCATATGAAACAAGAGGAATTAAAATGAGATACTTGGGACTGGGGGTATAGCTCAGAGGATAAGAGTTTGCCTAGCATGCATGAGGCCATGGGTTCAATTCCCAGTACTGAAAAAAAAGAGAGAGAGAGAGAGAGAGATACCAGTTTGAGCTGGTAAGTTGGCAAGAATTTAAATGTTTTTAAAATATCAAGAATGGAAATTGTGTGGAGACACAGAGCTTCTCAGACTGTTTTTAAGAAGAGAAGGCTAAGACTGGGGAGTGGCTCAAGAGGTAGAGTATGTGCCTAGCAATCATGATACCCTGAGTTCAAATCCCACTACCACCAAAAAGCAAAGGAAAAAAGAGAGAGAAGTTGCAGAGCAACATGGGAGGAAACAGACCCCACACCTTCAATTCCGCCTCCCTAGACAGGCTCTTCCAGACAGAGATGCTATGGGAAGCAGGTTGTTACAAGGAAAACTGGAAACACAGTAAAGGTCTGTTGCATTAGTGCCCTAACACAATAGCCTAGTAACAAAGTACCACAAACTGAGAGACTTCAAGAGACAGAAATTTATTGTCTCAGTTTTGGAGGCTGGAAAGGCAAAACTGATGTGTGGCAGGGCTGGTTCCTTCTGGGGGCTCCCACATGGAGCCTGGCCCAGGCCTTTCCCAGCTGCTGGGCTTGCACCCCCTGTTCACAGGGCCTTCCATCTGTGCATGTGGGCATCCAAGTTTCCCTCCTATGATACCTCCTTCCCTGGTCACTGGATGGAGGGCTGCCCTTACTCAGAATGTCCTCATGTAAACGTGACCACACTTTCAAAGGCCCTACTTCCAAATACGGTCACATTCACAGGTTCCAGGTAGACACTGATTCATCCCAGTGCACGTACTGAAAGGGAACGGTTTATAAATCACGGTGCACCTTCCCATGAAGTACTGCAAGGGGAGCAGTGACAGAGATGACTTCATTTGGATGACAGAGGCACTTTAAAAGCAGACACCTAAAGAGGCGTGAGAAACAACGGACTTCTCAGACAAATAACAGACCCCTTACCAAAATAACAAGATGCAGCTCCACAATGTGGGTAGTGGGCCGAAGGCCAGGACAAGCTGTTTGATAAGGAGAGGGATGAACAGGTGGCCGAGCTCAGCGAGAAGCTGACTCAGCGCCAACCAATCACAAATATAGTTTTAAGGTAGAATAGTTGGACCTAAGCCAGTTCGTGCCCTGTATTATCTCCCAGACTTCAGCCATTGTTTGGTTTAGCAATTTCACTCAGTCCCACCCGCCAGGGTGCTTTGCTATCCCTTCAATGAGCTTTGTGCTTGCTTTACTCTTAACTCCTGGTCCAGGGTCTCCAATCATCGACTGTGCCAGGACACAAACTGGGGATCAACACTGCAGTATCAGTACCACCACCCCAGTACTGGGTTGCACGGTTGAGCCACCGCTCAACAGGTGGCTTTGCACGCTACTTTGCCTTGAGCAACACAGCGAAACCCACTGCCCACCTCCTGCGTGTTACACGTGCCTGGCCGCACATGCAGAGACGCCCCAAGAGTCAAGGGCAGCCACAGCTGTGGTCACTTCACTCCTGGGGCAGTGCGATGAGGGCCAAGCAGGAGTTAGAACACTGGTGGCTGAGAACCAAGGTCTGGATGTTGATAAGGATTCACATCTGATCCTGCTGACAGTAACAGAATGGCTTGTGACACACAGCAGGGTCTTGCTGACCAGCAGCCCTGGAGCCCACAGAAAACAACAGCCCCAGTGTGACGTCCAAGGCCGAAAACTGCCCCCACCACACGTGCGGGAGGAGTTGATGACACACACCCAGTTATGGACTGACCACCCCCATCTCTGCAGAACCTATAAAAGCCTTGGGACCTCGGGGGCAGCTGCCTCGCCTTGGGTCGGCTACATAAATAAACCTGCTCCAACCCTCATATGGAGCAGCAGCGGCTCTCCCTATGCTCAACTGCCTGTTGCTTCTCCTACTTGCCTGCCTTGGTGAATCCTTGGTAGGTTCTCTCACCCATCTGCAATAGTTTTCATTTTTCAAAGGACTCTAGTCCGTGCCTCCGCCCTCCCGCCGACAGGGGGCGCCGCCCACGCTGCCCGCCCTCGCTCACTGCAGCCGCTCTCCGCAGGAAGTCCCGCCCATTTCCGGAAGTCGTGCACTGGCGCTTCCCGGAAAATGGCGGCGTCCGCAAGCACGGGAGCTGCTCGTGGTGGCGGCTGCCCGGGGCGCCAGGTCCGCGTGAAGCGTAGCGGCGGGCGCCGCGGTCCCGGCGGCGGCGGGGAGGGCGCCCTGAAGCGGCTTAAGGTGGCCGTGAAGGTCTTCGTGCGGGCCACTTCGGAAGGCGAGGCCCCCGGGGACTGCGCGGGGCGCGGCGGCGGGGCGCGCTCCCGACCAGGCGGGAGGAAGAGCCGCAAGGAGCTGCGCAAGGAAAAGCGACACCTGAGGAAAGCGCGCCGCCTGCAGAGGACGGCAGGCCCGGGGCCGGAGAGTGAGGAGGGCAGCGCCCGCCCGCCGCCCGCCGCCGGGGCCCCCAAGGCCAAGGCCCCCCAGGCTACTGCGGAGGGTCCCCTGGCCCACGTCAAAGCCAAGGCCGCGGCGCCCCGGGGCACAGCCCAGGATCCCCCACCCCACATCACGGCCAAGGCCCAGGCTCCCCCCGGGAGAACCAAACCTTCCGCCGCCGCGGCAGCCGCACGGAAACGGGCCCTTCTGGCGGCCAACCAGGAGGAGGCCCGAGAGATCCGGAAGCTGGAGCGGTGCCTCGGCCTGAACAAGCGCAAGAAGAAGGATGACGGCCCCACGGTGCCGCTCAGCTTCGCGCGCGACGGGCTGGACTACATCCTGGGAGCGCTGGAGCCCGGGCGGGCCGGCGGCTTGTACGACAGCAGCGGGGAGGACGAGGACCAGGGCCAGGACCAGGAGGAGGGGCAGACCCTCCCCGAGAGGGACCCAGACAGCAGCGGGGATGAGGAGCAGGGAGCCGGACAGACCCTCCCCGAGAGGGACCTGGAGAGCGGTTCCGAGCTCGACAGGGAGGAGGATGCAGGTGCTGGGGCGCAGCCCAGGGACGAGGACGTGGACCCCGAAAGCAGGGAAGAAGCGGAAGGCGGGGCGCGGGAGAATAGGGGCCGGAAGAGAGTCCGTTTTGCAGCAGACGAAGAAAGACGTCAGAGTTCTTCGGAAGGCGACGACACAAAACATCAGGTACATCGTGAACAGCCAGCCGCTGATCTTCTGGGAAGGCCTTCAGGGCTGGGGGGAGCAGAGTATAGTGCAGTGTTGACACTGGTGCAGACAGCGACTTCCAGAGCTTGCTGAGTGGGGTGCCGCCGTCCCAGGCCTGTTCTAGGTACTCAGTAAATAGCTGGGCTTTCTAACCAGCAGTGGCCAGTAACGCTGTGTCTCCCTCCACACGCCCTAGTACTTGGGCACTTAATATTTAAATGCGCACAGGCAGGGGAAAATACGGGATCCGTCCCATGTACGTTTGTCATTCATTCCTCTCTTTTCAAGGAGAAACACTTGTGAAAGTCGTGAAAAGTATGTCCCACCCCAGTGAGGCAGTTGGAGGGGACAGTGGATGTCCACAAGCAGGAAGAACTGGAAAGGCTGAAGAAACATGTCAAAGGTCTCATTAACAGGTAACCCTTCCACCTTCCTGTCACTTAAAGAGGGTGTCTGTGCTAAAAATAGAGAAACTACCCCAGGGATTGAAATAGTGCTGGGGCCATTTGGGGTCCTTGCTGCTCCTGTTATGATGCACCCAGACCCACAGCATGACAAGAGGAAGAGGTTTAGCTGCTTGGTACTGCAGGTCCCTTCCTTCAGTGATTGAGGGCAGCCCACCAGCTCACACTGTACTTCTGAAAAACAGGAAAGAATGGGGCAGGAGCTTTGTGTCACCCTAGGAATAGCAGCAGAAGGCCTAGGGTCCCCCTCCCCACAGGAGCAAACTCATCTGGTCAGGACCATGGTCTTCCATCCCTGAATCACTACTTATGTCTGCATTTCTCATCCAGTTTAAATAAAACAAGGTTGGTTAGAAGCCATGTAAGTTGGACTTCATTTCTCACTTACCCTTCCCCCATCAGCTCTTTAGTTTTAAAAATGAGTTAAAAATCTCATCTGCTGACAACCTTTTCCATTTCTATTACCCTCACCCAGAAGCCCCTTCTAGCCCTTCTCCCAAGCTCTCTAAAAGTGGTCACTGACCTGACTTCTAGCACCTTACCTATTTCTGCCATTTTTCAAGTAATGTATTGCTTTTTTTGTTAACATTTTATTCAACAATGATTATAGACGCATGAGGAATTGCAAAGGTGGTACAGGAAGGTCCTGCATACCCTCTGCCTTGTTCCCCCCAGAGAGGAAAGCTAGAGTGTGATTAAACATCAGGACAGAACTGATGTACAGCACCCATAGCTCGTCCAAGTCCACCATTTTTACGTGTGTGATTCTGTGCAGTTTTATGCATGAAAATTCATGTAACCACCACCACAGTTACGGTATAGACCTGTTCCATCTCCACAAGGCTCTTGTTCCACCCCTTTATGTCTCACTCCCTTTCATTTCTTTTTAAGTAAAATCCAAGTACTATTTACAAAGGAGTGTCCTGAATTTTACCAAAACATACTGTTTTGATGCTCCTTTCAGTATTAGCGCAAGTGTGCTGTGGATAATCTTCCATGAATACATGGTCTTCCCTCCCGCTGTTCAGATGAAACAACCTGTTCTTGGTGTAGGAACCAAGGATGCTTGTGCCACCTATGAGTTGAACAAGTTAGTGTTTTTCCCAACAACACTACATAAGGGTAGTCCCAGACTCTAGGGATATCAGATCATGGCATCCACAGGCATGTCCTCAGGTAAGTTTCTGCAGACCCAAGGACTGCTTTTCTGACCTCATTTCCACTGAAAAGACAGTTACCTTATTTTGGGCCTCTATAGGGTATCAGGTGGCTATGAGCAGAATACCCTGGGCGGTAGTACCAAGTTCAGAATTGTTTCTGGATGAAAAGTGTGCATGAAGTAGGATGTGTCAGTAACACTGGCAATTTCTCAGGCTGTTTCCTTAATTGAACTGGAACATGGCTCCTAACATGAAGCACGGTTGCTCTCTGTGTTCACATTGCACCACAGGCTCAGTGAGCCAAACATGGCGTCCATCAGTGGGCAGCTGGAGGAGCTGTACATGACCCACAGCAGGAAGGACATGAACGACACCCTGACTGCTGCTCTCATGGGTGCCTGCGTCACTGCCTCGGCCATGCCCAGCAGACTCATGATGGAGCATGTCCTCTTAGTCAGTATCCTTCACCACACTGTTGGAATTGAGGTATGCTCACCCCTTTTCTCCACATACCGGCTGTGTCACCTGGGACAGTAGTGTTTTCTGCTAAGGTTAGTTACTACATGTGATGGACATAAGAAGGAGGCTAGCCCATAGTAAATGCTCACTGACAGGTAGTAATTAGCCATGTACAATAGGGAAAGAAATGTTTCCATTGATGTTCTGCTCTTCCCCTTTGTCTGGTTGGCTTTCCTACCACTGCAGGTTTCATTGCTATTCCTAGATGGCTGCCTAAATCCCGTTTTTCTTATCTAGCAGTAGTCATTGTGGCAATGTTTGGAAGGATAGAGACCTCAAGACCTGCTGGGCACTGAGAAGCTGAGGGCAGAGCAGAGAGTAGTCAGGCCCTGTGTCTCTGAGCACAGCACTGTCAAGTACCTTGTGATCTCTCTTGTGAAAAATCTGTACCAGCTATATTGGAAATCACTTTTGGAGAATTTTTTTTATTCTAACAGCTATGTTCATTTGCACACGTGAATGCCTGAGCCCATTTTCTTGCCATTACAAAGCATAATGGAAGCCCTGGACAGCTTTCCTAGTGCCCTGTGATTTCCATAATTCATGCCTTTCTGTGGCTGGCTTAGTATATCCCCCATCCTCCTAGATCACACTGTATACTTCATCAGACTTAATCATCAAGGTGATTTTAGCACAGATGGCATTTCAGTGAGCTATAGTAAGTCATAGACCTGAGCACCCACAGCATATCAGGAATTTAGGTGATTTGAAAACATGAGATTATTAGTTCTACTTCTCATTTAAACCTTTGCTAATAGCATGAAAGACAGTGAGATGACTTGTTCAAAGGGAAGTCATTATGGTACTTTAGCTAATGACATCTACTAAAACTTCTGCCAGATATGATGAGCTGTCAGGATGCAGGTTCCATTAAACTTCTTTCAGTGCTGTAGGAGAGAAACATCCTCACAGGAACTCACAGGGGAAATGTTGAAGACCATGATGTCAGCTCCTGCATTGTCTCCATAAGTCACCCAAAAATCATACCTCTGCAGTCTGCTCAAATTCACACATCAGAGTTAATGTATCTGCAATTTTAGCAGTGTGAATTTTTTTTATATTTTAAGTGTCATATGATTACATTTAATTTCAAAGATATTAAATGGATTTTTAAATTCTAATGAATTTTGATGTAATTAAGTAATCCTGTTTGTATGTTGAATGCATACAGTTGGTGCCTGAATTTTTACTGTCTGAAATTCTGATTTCTTTTCTCAAGTTGTATGTGAATGTAAGCTGGTGGTCAAGGTAGGAGAGTGTGTTCTTTAGGTTTATCTTTGGTGGAAGGTCTTGAAATGGGAGCTTATAGGTTAAATGTATTGAGTCTTGGGTCATAAGTTCTGGCTTCCATAAATCGCTGTTGCATCCTGCCGATCTGTTACCTTTCTGTGGATCCTTCTAGCATTGATTTTTTTGCAGCCCTACAATGCTGCATGGGTATTTTCCCATTTTGCTCTTAAACTGTCTGAATGTCATCTCCTCTGAGATTCACTGTGTACCCACAACCCATCCTGCCTGGTGCCCACAGTGATGCTCACTAAGCCTCTGAAGGATCTTATCCAGCCTGTAGTCTGCGTAGTTTCTGGTTACCCAGACCTAACCCTGGGGATCATCTTTGCATCTGCTGACTTGCTTTGTCCTGCCCAGCGCCTGGCTCACTCTGCCCAGCCGTTTCTTCCCAATCCAGTATAGCTGCCTCTCTCAGGCCATCATCCCCAAGTAGACTATGGACATCACTCCATTTACCACTGTGTCTCTGCTGCTGTCAAGATTTCAGAGAAAATGGTGACTTGATACTGATACCAGCAAGATGCTAACTGCCATCTGCCTTCACTCTTCTGGTTCAAACCTTCTTCCCAAGGACAAGCTTACAGAATTGGGAATAGCAAAAGAAGGGGCCACAGTAGCCTGGCCTGCTCTGACCCTCAGCATGGTGGCCGGTGCCTGCTGCTCCCCTGAGGAATGGCACATGTGCATCAGCCCCAGGTTCCCAGGAGTGGTGCTGAGCCAGATGGGTATGTTCAAACACTGCCTTCAGAGCTCCCAGGCACAGGGATGCAGTACCCACTTATGTGGTGGCATTTGATATTACTGGAGAGAGGATTATTTTCATTTTTCAACTTTTAGATACTGCTTGCATTCTTTCCTTAGGAGAAATTAACTGGAGCCAGGAGCTGGTGGCTCTCTCCTGTAATCCTAGCTACTCAGGAGGCAGAGAACAGGAGGATCGAGGTTCAAAGCCAGCCCATGCAGATAGTTTGTGAGACCCTAATCTCAAAAAAACCCGTTAGAAGAGACTGGTAGAGTGGCTCAAGGTGTAGGCCCTGAGTTCAAGCCCCAGTACCCCCCAAAAAAAAAATTTGGAGGAAAAGTCTCTGAAAAATGAATATTGCTAGGTAGTGGAGCATTTTTGACACATTTTTATCAAGTTTATTTTTCCAAGGAACCAGAATTGTACAATTCAGTACAATCAGGCATGAGCTATTACCATTTGTGCCCTGTTGGAGTTCATATCCTGTCCTTTTTAAGTAATGTGCATTACTTAATGCATAGGTCTGTGGCTCAGACCTGTAGTCCAAGCTACTCGGGAGGTATAGAGCAGAAGGATTGCAGTTCAAGGCCAGTCCAGGCAAAAAGTTCACAAGACTTCATCTTAAAAAAGCTGGGTGTGGTGGCATGCATCTGTCATCCCAGCTACTGTGGGAAGCACAAATAGAATCACGGTACAGGCTGCCTGGTATGAATGTGAGATCCTCTCTCAAAAATAACGCAAGTAAAAAGGTCTGGGGGCATGGCTTAAGTTGTAAAAAGCCTGCTTGGCAAGTGTGAGGCCCCAAGTTTAAACACCAGTATTGCAACAACAAAAAGAGTGCACTTTGAAGGGTGAGGTCCCAAAGAATGCCATGATGACACATTTCTTGTCTCATGCAGGTTGGTGCTTGCTTTCTGGAGGCAGTGGTGAGGAAGTTTGACGATGTCTATAAAAGTGGAGGAGAGGGGAAAGAATGTGACAACCTGTTCACCATTGTTGCCCACTTGTACAACTTCCACGTGGTACAGTCTCTCCTCGTCTTTGACATTTTGAAGAAGCTTATTGGAACTTTCACAGAAAAAGACATCGAGCTGATCCTGTTAATGCTGAAAAATGTGGGCTCAGCGTTGAGGAAAGATGATCCCTTGTCACTTAAGGAGCTGATTACAGAGGCCCAGGCCAAGGCCAGTGGGGCAGGCAGCAGGCTTCAGGACCAGACCAGGGTATGGGTGCCACTTGAGCTGCTCCTAAGTGTCCCAAAAGCACACAGACTCACCAGAACTTAAATAAGTAGCTAGGGTAAATACTATGCTTTGTTTCCTAATGATTTTTGTACTCTTCTGCCTTGCCTGGTACTATGGCTTTATCTCTAACCCACAGACCAGCCTTGCTTCTTTACAGTATTGTGTGGATTAAATCAGCTTATTTAACATCCACCCATTAGAAACTGCTTATTGAGGAGGCCTGCAGCATGGGGATCAGGTATCACCCTGGGTCAGATATGTGGCTTTGCCTCTGAACAGCAGTAGAGTCTAAGTCTTGCCAGCCTCTGTTCCCCTATCTGTTAAGTGGGCTCACAGCTCCTGCCTCTTTTGTTGCTAATGTGAGAAGCCCTCAGGAGAAAGAAGAAGGTGGCTTGTTGAAGAGTGCACAGAGAGCCTGTGTGGGAAGCCTGTGGGATGTGGCCTGGGTGTGGGGCCTCACTTACCATCCCTGGGGCTCAGGGTTTTATCCTGGCAGATCTAGGGGTTCTCCAGAGGTAGTGAACATGTGGACATTGCACTTTAGTGGCCATTTTGGCTGCAGTGTAGAAAAGAGGAGGTAGTCAGAGTGGGGAGGAGGGTTTCAGGAGTCCAGGGACGACGCTGGTGGTGTGCATGAGTACAGTGGCAGGGGTTGTGGCTGTAGGAGTCAGAGTGACTGGACTTAGGGAAGAGAGGTCAGAGTCACCCTGCATTGGACAGGAGGACTTGCAGGAAGAGGCTTAGGTCTGGGAGGAAGGCCGCCTAATTCTGAAGTACTGAGGTTAGAGATCCTGGGTAAGCTGTGAAGAGGTGGGTCAGAAAAGACTCAGGGTCATCCTTGGGATCCTGGAGTCGTGGGAGTGAGTTTGGCATTATTTCTAGTTTAAGTTAAAAGACTTGAAAGGTCATGGGAGGGGGAGTGTCCAGAAGCACCATCACTAGGGAATGGGGCGGGGCACCTGGACAGTGAGGAGTGGGAGCCCTGGGAGACTGGAGGTGTGGGAGTGTTCATAGCCTGGGACAGGTGTCTATCAAAATGCTCCATTGCCCTGAGTAAGGTGCTGGAGTCAGCACCAAGCACCCTCACCTGTAGACCATCTCAAATGACAAGTGTTTTCTTTCTTTTCCTTAAAGATACGGTTTATGCTGGAGACAATGCTGGCGCTGAAGAATAATGACATGCGCAAAATTCCAGGTTATGATCCTGAGCCTGTGGAGAAACTGAGGAAATTACAGAGAGCTCTGGTAAGCAACTTCCTGTCCTGGTTTATCCTGAACCTCTGTGGCACCATTGTGACAATGAAGACACAGATGGGTGTATGCCTGGCATGTGAGCGTTTTAAGATAGAGCAGAAGCTACGGGTTTTCTGCAGGGAGAGCTTCAGAGTACCTGTGCGTGGGAAGCTTCAGAGTCCAATTTTTTTTTTTTTATTTTTATTTTATTCATATGTGCATACAATGTTTGGGTCATTTTTCTGCCCCCCCCCCTTTACCTTCCCCCCCACCCCCAGCTTGCTATGCTTCTACCTGGGGCACTAAACTCTGGCTCTGCCAGCTCTTAAGAAGAGACTAGGCCCCAGCTGGCCCTAGGATGGCTGCTCTGTGGACATCTAATCTGCAGCCGTACCAGCCTTGCCAGCCTTGCCAGCCTTGTCAATGCAGCTGTCTTAAGTCCTCAGTCAAGGGGCTGTTGGCTCTGCAGAGCCCAGGCTCCTGCTGAAGTTCTTACTTCACTTAGATCAGGGTGACTCAGTCAGTCTCCCCTATGACAACTTTCCAAACACATTTGAGTGATGTATGCACAGACTCAAATACAAAATACTGTGCATTAATAAATTATGCCTGTTGGCAAATTATGTACAGTAAATTATGCCTATTGGCATAATTCCAAACAGGCTAATTGTCACAGCTGTTAGTGACTCGTCATAACACTCATACACCAAAAATGCCCTTGTCAGACAAAAGTGTGATGTAGGTACAGAATATGAATCAGTTAAAAGCATTTCACAACAGATTTTCCTTTAATCAGGTACGGAGTGCTGTCTCAGGTTCCGATACTCAGCTTCGTGTCTCCTGGGATGGTGTCTTGAACGCGGATCAGACTGGTCGCTGGTGGATTGTGGGGTCTGCATGGAGTGGGACCCCAATGATTGACAACAGTCATCATGCACTCCTGCAGAAACCACTTGCAGGGATGGTACGGAGACTCCTGCGCTCGAGGCTGCCAGACGTGTCTGGTGCCTACTCCACCTAGAGTAGCTCTGTGTTACTCCTCAGTAAATTGAAATATGCCACATGGGTTTCTCTGAAGCCTTTATAGAAAAAAACTAGTATTAACATATAATTAATTCAGTTAAGAATTTTTCAGAGTCCCCAAAAAACACATTGCACAAGAGATCTAAAAGCTGAATGGAATGAGGGAAACATGAAAAATCAAAGCCCTGATTTCGCAGATACCCACTGTTGAGACCTGGACAGTGCTGTTTCCCCGGAGATGTGGCTTCTGGTCCCATTAACTTGGGTTTCAGAGTGTGGGACTTCTGTGCACGTCTCTATACTTCATATTACTAACTGAAGTCCGTACTTGAGCCACATTTCCTCTTTCCCTGATGTCCTCTCCTGGCCTGAGACCCTTGTTACTCTTTGCAGTTGTGACTCCACAGGTTGTGGCAGCCACCTCATGTCTGAACTTTGTCTCTGATGACAGACAGATCCCACCCTCCTGCGAAGTTTCCTGTCAAGTGCTTTTCTCCTCCAGTTGCTTTTCCCTGCTCTGTTTTCCCTTTGTAGGAAAGATTTAGTGTTTATGAACATATATTTATATATAATTTACAACTGTATTTAGCTCAAGCCATGGAACTGTATGAATTCCACTTTAGAAACAACTTCAGTAACACCATGCTAAAGGATGGCACAGTAGTCCTTAGGAAACAGCTTTCACTCAGACATTTGAATAGTTCATACACTGATCTTTCCTCTTTTCAGGTTAGCTCAAAGATGCTGGAGCTTGCCCGGAAGCAGAGAATGAACACCGACATCAGGAGGAATATATTCTGTACGATCATGATGAGCGAGGACTTCCTGGATGCTTTTGAAAAGCTGCTCAAGTAGGTTTGTGTGAGTGTTTTGACCTATGAGCTCATCAGATAGTGTAAAAGGAAGCTGATCTGGTTTCTGTGTTTTGGGTGACTGAGTAGCTTGGCTTTCCTTGGTTCTGTCCTCTCACGTGGGTGGGCCCATGCATCCACCATGGGTGAGCCATCCATCTGTGCTCATGTGCCCCTGGCAGTCCTCAGCACAACACCACGTGCTCCCAAGATACGAGGGCTTCACGTGACTGTGGTCAAAAGTGTATGTCTCTTCATATTAAAGTTACCTTTTGATTCTTTTCATTTAAAACTTCCTAGAATAGTTTCTGTAATTAATTATAATAAGATTTTTTTCTTTAGTACCTGTACACTTTACAAAGTATTTCTTTTGCTTTTTCGGTAGTATTGGTGTGAACGCAGGGCTTTGTGCTTGCTCAGCAGAGTATTTCTAAGCATCGTAATGTTAGCTCTCTCCTTTCTGTGCTTCAAACTTAGGATGAAATAAATACAGGGAAAAATGGTTCACTTCAAGATTCTGATCTTTCTAAACTTGAGTGCCTTATTGATAATGGAAACTCTAAACCTTCTTCATGGTTTTGTAGCCACTGTTGCTTTGGGGAATCAGTAGCGCACACGGTGGCAGGAATGTGTGGTGGGGAGACTGATCATCTCATGATGCCTGGGAAGCAAAGAGGAAGGACCAGGGTGCCAACACCCCCTTCAAGGGCCTCACTTCCTTCCACTAGACTCTGCCTCCTACAGGCTCCAATACCTCCCTCCAGTAGTGCTGTAGAACCAAGCTTTCAACACATAGCCTTTGGGTGACCTTCCAGATCCAAACAATAGCATTCTTTGTATCAGAAAGTTACTTCCATCACTATTCCTCCAGCTGGCTCCATGTTTTCAAAAATTTATTGGACCAAACTTGCTTATGAATTAATGACTTCTCCCATTTTTATTCATCAGAATCAGCTAGGCTGGGGTGTGGCTCAGTGGTAGAGCACTTTCTAGGCATGCATGAGGGCCCTGGGTTCATTCCCAGCACTACTAGAAAAAGAAAAAGAAAAATTGCTTGTTTCAGTGTCTGTACCCCCTTAGCTTGAGTAACCCGTCGTTTCCATTAGGTTTGAGTTATTTTGGTGGGCTTTGTTTTTGCTTAGCAGTAGAGCTCATTATTCTAAGGTTATAGTATGTCTGCCTCTACCTATAGGTTCCTGCTTCAACTACATTCAGATCCATTTACTTCAGAAGGCAGCCACTTGGGCTGGGGGTGTAGCTCAGTGGTAGAGTGTTTGCATACACCCTGGGCTCTACCCCAGCACCACAAAAAAAAGGTGGAGGAAGCAATCATTTATTTGTACTCACCAAAACCAGAGCACAATCAGTGTGTTCCCCACTGGGGAAGGATGAACAGGCCATAGTTCTCTGTAGTGGGTGGGAAATTTACCACTGGACATTGCGGAGGGCACAGTACCAACACCCATGGCAGCACAGGTTTTCTGATGTGGGTTCTGATGAGAGCCAGCAGCCAGATGAGAACAACCAGTGCTTTATGACTTCGTATGGTGTTCTGGTGGAGGCAGAACTGAAGGACAAGAAACGGATGGCAGTCTGTGTCTCGGGGAAGTGCTGCTGGCTGCAAAGGGAAGGAAGGTTTGGGGCAGTGGAACTTTCTCTGTTTCCACCGTGGTGTTGGTGGTTTCCTCATCCCGTGGACTTGTCCACACTCATAGAACTGCACACTGAAAAGTAAGAATTTTACTAGATGTTTTACCTTGAGTTTTAGACGTCAGGAAGTATTTGCTTTAGCAAGACCTGCTTTAAGTGTGTAACAAGTGAGTCCTGCTTATGGCATTGGCTCCAGCCTTGGGCTTCTGTGCTGCAGTAGAGCTCATGGATCATGCTTTGCCCTCCCACATTTTGCCACTTTTTAGGAAAACTGAGGTGCAGAGAAGTTAGGGACAGGCTGGGCTGTGGCCTGAGCCTGTGGCTGCCTCCACCTTTACCCAGCACACTTTTAACTGGATTCTTCCAGACAGGAAGAACCTTTGAAAGACTGCAGTGAAAACTGGAGTGGAGTGCAATTTAGTCTGGCTGTTTCTGTGCCACAGGCTTGGGCTGAAGGATCAGCAGGAGAGAGAAGTAGTCCATGTCCTCGTGGATTGCTGCCTGCAGGAGAAAACCTACAACCCTTTCTATGCCTTCTTGGCCAGCAAGTTCTGCAGTTATGAGAGGCGGTTTCAGGTAACTAAGTTAGAAGGCCACTGGTTACCTGTGCTCTGCAGTTCTTCCTAAACATGCTGTTTGCCTCGTGACCTAAACCTGAGACCCCAAGTCAGGAGGCACCACATCTCAGTCATGGGATCATGTGGTTCTGCTGGGGGCAGGTGGGGGGAGGGGGATGAGGCCAAGTTTCTTCAGAACCTTTGTTGGTCTCTGCTGATTTGAGAACAAAACCTGAAACAGAGATCACTGTCTGCAGGAACGGATAGTGTGGTTGCTCCTGAAAGTCCTCCTGTTTAGAAATTAAAAATAAGTGACAATAGAGTGCCTTTAGCTTAGCTTACATTCTTAGTGATTTATTCTGGTAATTTGTTAGCCAGTTTCTTTTTTTTCACTGTCATTAGATGACTTTCCAGTTCAGCATATGGGACAAGTTTCGGGACTTAGAAAATTTGCCAGCCACTAATTTTTCGAATTTGGTTCACCTGGTGGCACACTTGTTGAAGACAAAATCGCTTCCACTATCCATCTTAAAGGTTTGTATAATGAAGGAAATTACTTAAAGCAGTGAAAATGATCATATAATTCCTTGTATTTCCAAGATTCTGAAAGAGATTTTATTGTCATAGTTATCATAGAAAATAGCCAGATTAGCATACAGTATAAATTTACTTTCAAAATTTGTGCCCAAGTACATGGTTTTGGTAATCTAGGTGTTTAGGGGTTTGACATTAATGTGCCCATCCTAATTATAAATTCCCAGTTGGTCACAGTTTTTTGGGGGAAAAATGAGGGAAATAGGACTCGTCTCATTGTGGAGGCGTGGTTTCTGGGTCTGGTGTAAGACTCCCCTACCCCACTGTGTTTTTGACTTTCTGAATCATGAAATGCAGGTGCCCAGGTGTTCCTCTGGAGGTGGGATTTGAGGTGGGCTGGGTCATGGGGCCACCAGGATGAGGGTATCCTAAATAAGCCTGAACTTTTGAAGAGACTGAGGCTGCCGGGGGAACAGCACAGACAAATCAGGGCACTGACTTTAATGCCCCTGCTTTGACTTTGCTGGTCTGTAGGACAGCTCGTGGCTCATCTTCGTAGCTCCTGTCCTGTCCACAACACGTCCTTCTGCCACTCATTGGAGCATCTGCTCACAGTTTCCTTGAGTCTCTTTTGGTGCGTGGTGTGCATAGGAATCAGCCACTGTATTAAAAATGGGGTACCGATGCTATATTCTCTAAATGAGAATAGCAGTGACTTCTTGTCCGTGGACTGAATCCCGCCTTCTGCGCACTCAGGTGCAGAGCTCATTGTGGAATAGGGTGGGTGCTGCCCCCAGGTAAACAGGCTGTGCTATGAGAAGTTCACTCAAGGGTGGCAGAACTATGCAGAGTCGGTGGCCACCCTCCTGGGGTCCCTCCCAGAGGATATTGCTCTTACAGCTGGCATTTGTCCTCATTTCTGGCCTTGTGTGCAAACAGAACATAAGGCTGGATTGTTTCTGACCTCTCTGTGAGCAGTACCATGCTGTCACCATGCTGTGTCCCTCTGCAGTTCTTTTTTACATTCTACTTTACAAATTTACAACTTCTCCATGTTATTATCTGTCGTTCTCTTCTCTGATTAACTTCTGTGTGTATCACTATGATACAGTGCATGTCATTTGACCTACTGCTAAATGTTGAGGTTATTTGCCTGCTTTTGGGAAGCTTTCTTAGAGAAATGTGTATATAGATTCATTCCCCTAGACAGAAATTCACTATAGAGAAAATTGTAATCAGGGGATTGACCCTTTCAGGGACTGAGTAACACGTTTCAGTTCTAGAAACTTAAATTCCTAACTCTGAAGGTGCACATCCCATGAGCTCTGCTTCCCGCTGAAACACTGCTTACCAAAGACCAGAATCACCTCTGAAATCGGGCATGGGGAGAGTTGAGGAAGGGTTGAATTTTAACCCTGCTGGATGTATTTATAAATCATGGAAAACCTGGCCACATTCGTGTAACATTCTTTTTCTCTGTCTCCTGACCATTAGGTAGTTGAATTCAGTGAACTGGATAAACCCAGAGTCCACTTCTTGCGGAAAGTGTTAACTATGCTGTTAGTAGAAACAGAAGTTGAAGACCTGGCTTTGATTTTTGCCAGGTACGTACCCAGCTTGTCCTTAATGGACATGGGGAAGGGGCAAAGAGATTGTTTTCATTCCTGTGGCTTTATAAAAGCAGGTTGTCATACTTTGTGTAGCATAATAAATCATTTCAGCCTTAAGTCTAAGCTAGTATCTGTGCATTAGATTTAAGAAATGTAAAGCTTGCCTAATAGCAAACTAATGATTTTTAACAAATGCAATATGTTAAGTTGGTTTTTGCTAGGCATGATGATTCATGCCTTTAATCCCAGCACTTGGGAAGTGGAGGCAGGAGGATTAAGAGTTCTAAGCCAGCTTGAGCTACATAGCAAGATCCTCTTGAAATACAAAAAATAGTTATGTTTTGGTTTTGTTTTGGTTTGGTTTGTTTTATTTTGAGGTGCTGAGGCTTGGGCCCAGCGCTTCACTCATAGTAAACACTTACTTCCACCTCTGAACCTCAGTCCCAGCATAAGAAGGTCTTAATTAAAAATTCTACTTTAGAAAGAAGCCAGATGTGGTGCACACCTACAGTTTCAGCCACTGAGGAGACTGAATTAGAAAGATTACTTGGGCCCAGGAGTTTGAGGCCAGGCTGGGCAACTCAGTGAAGACCCCTACCTCAAAGAAACAAATTTAAATAAAAACGGGAAGGGTGGGAGATGTAGCTTAGTGGTAGAGCACTTGCCTAGCATGTACAAGGCCCTGGGTTTGATCCTCAGCACCACAAAAACACTAAAAGAAAGTGGGCTTTGCCTCACTACTTGAAGCACCTGGCCTTGAGATCCAGGAACTGAGCCACCCCTAACCAGTGTGTGATTCTCTTCCAGAGTATCTGACAACCCAAAGCTGGGGGTGCTGCGAGAAGGCCTGAAGCTCTTCATCACCCACTTCCTGCTGAAGCCCACACAGGCCCCCCAGAGCGCTGAGCAAGTCAGCATGCTGAGAGAGAGGGCCAGCCTCGCAGCAAAGGCTCTGCAGGGAAAGACAGCTCTCAGGATGTAGAGGGGGCCTTGTGAACACAGAGGCCTGTCCTGCCATCATAGGGTTTTATCAGTCTGTCACATTTTAGATGGTATATTTTGAGTTAAATTATATTGTGTATACTACAGATAACTCAATTTGGTATCGGGTGCAGGAAGGACAAGGGGAGGGGCAGCACTGGGCAGTGTACTCCCTGAGCCCCTTGTTAATAGCCTTCATTCTTTTCATAAGATTATAGGCCACTAGAGGGCAGTGGTCATAAATCCATGTTTTTATCTTTTTAAATACTGGTTCAAAGTTTAAAAACCATCAGTTAACTGTGACATCTGATGTCTGATGAATTACTCTAACATTTGCACTGCAGTTGGATTTTGGACAGGTCATTTAACAGCCTTGTGAATGTCTATTCTCTTACCAGTGTGCTGTAAGTAGAAAGTTTTCACCATCACTTGCCTGACATTTTGGGTGGTAGTGGATAGTCTATCTACTTTATAGTGTCTCCCACTCAGTGATTCCACATTGCTTATGAGTGGTTTGGTTTGGTTTCATTTGCAGTAAGCTGTAGGGTCTTACTGTGCAGGCTGGCCTGCCTGGAACTGAGATCCTCCTGCTTTGGACTCTGTAGTCTCTAGTGATGGGATTACAGGTATGGCCACCATGTTTGGCAATGAATGTGTTTCATTAAACAACTCTGAAGTCACCAAATTGGTATTGAACACTCAGTGGGAGCAGCTTGCTCGCTGGGTTCTAGAAGGTGTGAACATGAATAAAACATAGCTAGTTTCTGTAACCCCAACACTCAGGAGGCTGAGGCAAGAGGATCATGAGTCCCAGGCAAGTCTGGGCAACAAAGCCAGACCCTGTCTCAAATTAAAAAAATAAAAATTAACAAAAAAAGAGGGCTGGGGATGTAGCTCAGTGGTCACCTAGCATGAGCAAGGCCCTGGGTTCCATTTCCTGTACCACAATAAAAAAAGTTAACCGTATGCAAGAAATTAACACATACTGGAGAGACAAACATATGCTAAGTACAGAAAACAGATCCTGTGAGGAAGAGAAATGTCTGCAGCTACCACACATGCACAGGTTTTCAAAGTTTCACAGCCCTTAAAACTTCTCTCTCAAATGCTGCAGACTTGTCCTTACCCTCAGTTGTTGAAAAAAGCCACTAAGGCGTAAGTATAGAAGACAAATGTCAGAATCCTTTGCCTAGCAGACTGCTGTCCTCTGCAGTGTTGTCATCGTGGGCAGATGGGCCCAGGCTCTGGGGATGTGGCTCCTGTGCAAAACATCCCTTTTGTTACACTTTGAAATAACATCTAAGTGTGGCACTGTGGTGACTAGTGTTAGATCACCATGCAAAGGCATGAGATTGCTACATACCCTAAACTGAAGGTTGTAAGTTTCGTAATGGGCAGGCTTCATGTAAAACATCAGTGCTCAGCCCTAATTCTGAACTCATTCTACCTGCGGCCTAAGAAAAACCCTGTGTCTTCTACCACGTTCTGAACTTACATGGCACAGAAGATGGTGGGAGTTCAGAGTGCAGTAAGTGAAAGCCTTCATTTCATTACTGGGCTTTCTCAGAGTGTCTTTCCTAGGAGCTTCTCAGTGCAGCCACAGAGGGCAGAGGAGCTCCAGCTGGAATGTGACAGCAAAATGGTCCCCTCAGGGAGGCAAGTGCTCCATGACACAGTGTGTGGATTGTGCTGACCTCACTGGGGAGGAGTTCCTTTGGGTTGCAGCAGCTAGGATCAGGAGAGACTAGTGCAATGGCACCGTGTAGCCTCAGATGACCTTCAGTCTCCTTACTTGAGATGCAGGTGTGGCTAGATTCATTTTCCCACTTTTATATTGTCTTGTGTTATCAAGACAAAAATGACTGTACTTGCCATGTGACTTAACTATTATCTAAGTTTGCATTTATTACATGGCAGGTTGTTCATAAATGTGTGCATTTCTTAACAATAAAATGTGGGTTATCACACAGTAGTAACTGTACTTCAGTATAAATGGTAAATACATCCTGACTAAAAGCTACTGTGAACCTAAATGTATAGGTTTGGGGGCTGGGGATGTAGCTCAGTGTTAGGGCACTTGCCTAATGTGGTTTTCATTTCCAGAACTGCAAAAAATCCATGTGTGTGTTTAAAGTGTATTATAAAAGCATTGGAAATTCTGCAAGGAACTTAGTCAATGCTTTGTGTGTCTGTGTGTCTATGGACTTTTGCATTGCAGGATGAGAACTGCTAACAGACAGCATCACTAGAAGGAAGTGTCTCTTCTAGAGTATTTCATCTTTAGAGTACAAGAAACAAACTATTAAAATGTGTAAATAAAATCTTGTATTCATTGTAGAGTGTCAGCAAATGTTTATTTTGAAAGATGAGCTTGGCTGAAACGCTAAGGTCTACCCCTTGTCTTTCTATTTTTAAGAAGTCTGCTTTAGCAGGCAGTTTAGGAAAAAAGATTGTCTCCCTCCTCCTTTCCAAGAGAGAGCAAATGAGGCAAAATTAACTGTTGGAGGATTTGGCAGAAGTTTATGGAGGTGAAGTGGATTCTTATGACTTTAAAATTTTAATTATATGTTTAAAATTATTTCAAAAGCATTTATAATTCAGAACTCATTCTCCCAAGGTATACAATAGCCAGGCATCATGGCTCATGCCTGTGACCCCAGTTTTGTGGAAGTTGATGACCAAGAGGATACAAGCTTGCGGCCAGCCCTGGCAAAAAGTTAGCGAGACCCCATGTAAACAGATATACTGGGTGTGGTCCACGGCCAGCCCTGGGCAAAAAATGTGAGACCCTACCTGAGAAACAACAACAAAAGGGTTTGGAGTGGGCTCAAGAGGCATTGCGACCTCCTAGCAAGTGTGTGGCCCGGAGTTCACAAAAAGTGTAAAATACTCAGATTTTAAAAGCTTCACAAAGTAAGCTAACAAATTCAAAATGCCTTTGCCTCCCTTGTAATACTTGATGCACTACTGCTGAGGCCTCCTTAACTCTAAGGGAAGCCCATTTCCCTCAGCTTGGTCAGCTGATGGCCTCAGCTCTCTGCCACTGCACCTGCTTGGCAGGTGTGGAAGGCCCATCCTTACCGGCCTAGAGCTTGCTGTTAGCCAGCGTCTGAGTTCTCTGAGGGGACCAGCCTGCGTCCCTCAGGGTCAGATTAAGTTCAGACCTGTGTGTCAGGTACTACGCCATCAAAGACAGAAAATAACGGATAGAATGTTCAGGAAATGTCTTCATCTGGGTTTTCCTGCCATTTCCTATAATGCAGGTTAGGTCTTTGTGTGTCCTTAGTGGGTCTTCAGGTGGCACATGCTGGTGGTTTATCCCTTCCTGGCTCCTTGATGCAGGTCAGGGATGTGTCTTCTAGGGTTTTCCATGCTTGCTTAGAATCTACCCTTTCACAGCTATAACCAGTGTTCAGGGAGCGTGCTGGTCTATGGCTGGCTATCGTGTTAAACACATTTATCTCAGTGTCTGGTGATGGCTCCAGCAGTTCTGAGTCAGGGTCACAAGGCTACAGCCATGTCACTCAGCTACTTAACTGGTGACCTCCACTAGTGAGTGGGCAAGGCAGCCACCAGCCAGGAGAGGGCCTGCTTGAGTGTGTTCACAGCGGGGCACTGCTGCATCCAGAGCGGAATCCAGCCCTACACCCTTTATTACCTAGCTTGGGAAGTCACCACCACCAGTGCTAGAAGCTGGCTGCCATAGGACTGTGTGAGATTTGGCACTAATACCCTTTCCTAAAGCCCTCACCCCCAGTGTCAGCACCCCTAGATCATTCTTGATTAAACTCTGTAGTGGTTGGGAGGTGGTGACTGTCTAGTCCTGTTTATTAGCATTCTACAATAAAAAAGTCCTTACCAGTATGGACTCCTCTTTCCTTCAGTGGACGGTAAGGAAAGGCTACAGTTGATTTAAGCCACTTTTTTGTGTGATCAACATATGTGTGAAAGCCATATGTGGTTAATGTGTAACCTGATGAGTATGGGGATAAATCTGTGTGCATGAAGCCACCACCACCACCATCAAGGCCACGGACTGCCTGCTGCCTCCCAAAGTTCCCTCCTGCCTTTAGTCATTATAGCAGTGTGTGATAGTGCAGCACTGTTAGCTGGGGCCCATTCTGTAGGGGACACCAGGACTTACTCCTGCATAACTGCATCTTAGTGTCCTTGACCATTGCCTTCCGCCTGCCTCTGGCCCCTGGCAACCACCATCGTACTCTGCTTTATGAATTTGTTTTAGATTTCACAAGTAAGTGAAGTCATGCAGTGTTGTTGCTCTGTTGGCTTACTTCATATAGTGCCCTCCAGGTCTATCCATGCTGTGACCAGAGGCAGGATTTCCCCCTTTGGAGGCTAATTCATACTCACAGGTGTATTACCGCACATTTCCTTTATCCATTCTCCCGTCAGTGGACACTGAGACGGAGTCTATGTCCTGGCTCTTGTGAATGTGGGAGAGCAGATGTCTCTTCTACACACTCCTTTCCAGTTCCTTTGGATACATCCCCAGCAGGAGGTTGCTAGATAATAGGGCATTTCTATTTTTAATTTTTTTGAGGAACTTTTCCATAATGACTGTACCAATTTGCATTCCCACCCACATTGTACAAGGGTTCTCTTTGTCCACACCCTAGCCAACCCTTGTTATCATTTGCTATTTTAGTACCAGCCATACAAACAAGTGTGAGGCGATAGCTTATTATGGCTTCCATTTGCATTGACCACCTTGTCATATACCTGTTGGCCATTTCTATATCTTCTTTGGAGAAATGTTTGTTCCGATTCTTTGCCTAGGTTTGAGGGTTTTGTTGTTTGTTTTTCCTCACATATTTTGGACATTAATTTCTTCTCAGCAGTATGTTTTGCAAATGTTTTCTCCCACTCCACAGGTTGCCTTTTTCATTTTGTTTCCTTTGCTGTGCTTTTTAGTTTGATGTAATTCCACTTGTTCGTTTTTGCTTTCATTGCCTGTGCTGTTAGATTTATCTTCAAAAAGTCATTGCCAGGACCAGGGTCAAGGGGCTTTTCCCCTGTTTTTCTTTAGGAGTGCTACAGCTTCAGGACTTCCATTTTGAATTAATTTTTGTATATAGTTTAAAATAAGGGTCCAAAGGCTGGAGATGTAGCTCTGATAGAGCACCTGCCTAGCATGTGCAAGGTCCTGGGTTTGATCCCAACACAAAATATAAGTCCAATTTTAGTCTTTTGCATGTGGATATCCAGTTTTCCCAGCACCATTTGTCAAAGACAAAAACCCTTTCCCCATTGTGTATTCTTGGCACCCTTATGTAAATATTAGTTGATTTTGTGTGGGGGTGGTAACTTCTGGGATCTCTATATTAAAGTTGGTCGGTCTGTTTTTATGTGAGCAACATACTCTGGAAACCATAGCTTGAAGTTGAACCTTAGTTTGAAATAGAAGGTGATGTCTTCAGCTTTGTTGTTAAGATTGCTCTGGCTCTTTAAGGTCTTTCATTGTTCTAAATGAATTTTAGGATTATTTTTTCTGTTTCTGTGGAAAATGCCATTGGATTTTGCATGGAGGGTTTGGAGATGTAGCTCACTGGTAGAACATTTTCCTAAGCGTGTGTGAGGCCCTGGCTTCAGTCCCCAGTATCGAACAAGAGAGACAGTGACTGATCTCATCACATCTGTAGATTGCTTTGGGTAATATGAACATTTTAAAGTACTAATTCTTCCAATCCATGAACACAGGATGTCTTCCCATTTGTTTCTAACTCAGCTGCTTAAGTCAGTGTTCTGCGTAGCTTTGACTTCCTAGACCTTTCATCTTTCTCCTTGGTTAAGTTTATATTTAAGTTTTCTGTCCTTTTCGATGCTATTGGAAATAGAACTGTTTTCTTAATTGCTTTTTCAAATAGTTCATGATTAGTGTATAGAACCACAACTGATTTTTGTATGTTGATTTTGGACCCTGCCAGTCTACTGAGTTTATTAGTGCTACTTTTGGGGGGAGTCTTTAGGGTTTTCTACCTATAAAATCATGTCATTTTCAAGCAGAGACAGTTTTACTTCTTCCTTTACTATTTGGATAACTTTTGTTTCTTTTTCTTGCCTAATTGCTCTGGCTTGGACTAGTTTCTCTCTGAAAGAACTTCCCATTGTTGACAATGGGATAACTAAGTCTCTACTATGACTGTATTTTTGTTTATGCCTCCCTTTTGTTCTTTGGTATTTGCTTTCTATATTTAGATACTGCAATGTTGGATGCATTTATATGTTTTCAGTTGTTATATCCTCATGATGAATTGACCTTTTAACATTATATAATGACCTTCTTTGTCTTTTGAGACAGTATTGACATAAAGTCTATTTTGTCTGATGTAAGAATAGTCGCCCTTGTTCTGTCTTACTTACCATTTACATGGAATATCTTTTTCCATTCTCTCACTTTCAGTCTGTGTGTCTCCTTAAATATAAAGTGAGTGTGGTAAACAGCATATTGTTGAATTTTGTTTCCTGTTGTCTTGGTTTGATTTTAGTTTTGGATTACCCATTCAGCCATTCTATGTCTTTTGGTTGGAGAATTTATCCATTTATATTTAAAGTAATTATTAGTGCTAGAGATGTAGCTCAGTGGTAGAGTGCATGCTTTGCTCTCACTAGCCTCTATGTTCAATATCCAGCACTGCAAAAATAAAGCAATTGTTGATAAGCAAGGAATTACAATTGCCTGGATCTAATCAGTTGTTCTCTGTTGCAGAGTTCTTTGTTCTTTCCTTCTGTTGCCATCTTCCTTTGTGACTTGGTTTTCTAACTGATCTACTTTGATTCCTTCACTTTTCCTGTATCTACTCCAGGTTTTCTCCCTGTCATGACCATGAGGCTTGCATAAAACACCTCTTAGTATAATGGTCCATTTCAAGCTGACAGCATTGTAACTTGGATCACACACAAAATCTGCACTGTTACTTCTCCACTCACATTTTGTGTCATGTAACAGAAGTACGAGTGTGTGTCCATTAACATAGCTGTAGTATTTTGAATACTTCTGTCCTTTATTTTTTATGCTAAAGTTAAAAGTGAGACAGAACCATTACAGTACTGGAGTATATGTGTTTGTGTTGCTAGTAAGTGTCCTTTCATTTTAAATTGGAGAACTTTTAGCATTTCTTCTAAGAAACATGCCTGACTGATTGATTGAAATGGGATCTCACTAACTTTTTGCCCTGGCTGGTTTCTAACTGTGATCCTCCTGATCTCTGCCTCCTGAGTAGCTGGGATTATAGGTGTGAGCCACCACACCCAGCCTGTCTTTGACTTTTAACAGTTTAATTATAGTGTACCTTCATTAGGAACTCTCTATACTCAATGTATTTGGGGTTCTTTGGGATTCATGGATCTGGATGTTCATTTCCCTCTCCAGTTTTGGGTAGTTTTCACTATTTCTTTCAATAAAGTTTTTTTCCCCCTTTTCTCCTCTGCTCTGTCTGGGACTCTCATACTGCATATGTTGGCCTACATGATAAATCACAGATCTGTAGGCTTTCTTCACTCTTTCTCTTGCATTCCCCTGTATGGGTCATTGCAAATGATCTGTCTCAGGGTTCACAGATTTTCTGTTTGATCTGGTCTGCTGTTGAGGCTCTCTCAAATTTTCAGTTCTGGTGTTATGTTCTCCAGCTCCAGAGTTTTTGGTTGAGTCTCCTTTGTGAGTTGACTCCCTTCTCATTTTCTTTGTGCATTACTTTCCTGACTTTGTTTAATTATCCGTGTTCTCTTGCAGCTCACAGAACTTCTTTGAAAGAATTCTAATTCTTTGTAGGGCAGTGTGTAATTCCCATTCTTTAAGGTCAGCACTGGAGCTTGATGATATCATATGTCCTTCTGTCTTTGTGTGCTTCCAGGCCTTGCACTGCTATCTTTTCTGACTGGCTCTGGGAAAGACCATCACCAATGAGCTGGGCCAGGGCTTCAGGGAGCTTCTCAGACCTCCTCACTGGATGCACCTGCTCTGCTCCTCCTGTTCTGTCTTAGGGGGACTCCTATGACAGTAAGCCTGGTCTCCATCCTTCAGTGCCAAACTTGATACTGACAGCTTCCCATTCTCCCTAGGGTGGTTCTCAGTGTCGGAGGGAAGGCACCTTCTCCCAATCAAGAAGATTGAGCTGTCTGGGCTGCTAAGAGCCACACCTACTGTTGAGATCTGGTTGCTGTCCGTGGGCACATGGGGTCACGTAAACAGTAGTTGCGTGGTGTGTGCACCAACCGGCCGTCCCATACGTGAGTTGTCCTTTAGGGTTCATGGTGGTTTTCTTGGTGAAGTCAGCTGGTCAGCAGGACCCACACTGGCAATTGAGAATTGTGCACCCCTTGCTGTGTGTCCCTTCCCTCCAGGCAGCCCCATGGGACTCAGCTGTGCCAATCCCCGAAGTATCTGGGGTGACACAGAGTGGACTTCCTGGGAAATGTCCCACAAGGCTGGGAAACCCATACTCATTAGGTCTCACTTTCCCTTGGAGAGAAGTTGCAGGCCAAGGAGCCTCTTTGGGGAGGGTGACACAGGTAAAGAAACTGTTCCTGTCCTCTTCACAGAGTGTGCCCACCCTTTTGGGGGTTTTCCTCCACTGGCCCTGGAACCTCTCAGATTCTGGACTCCCACAAAATATATCTTGTCAATGAGTCCTTGCTAAATTAAGAGTTTCTGCCCGAGATGAGGTAGGGCAGAAACTTCCTATCCTGCCATCTTACCGATCTCTTTCTGTGGTGATTTCCATGCTGGATTGTTTCATGTTTGGCCTGTGGAAGACCCTTGGGTTGTCTCCTCTAGCTTTTTGGCATGTTCTCAACATTGTTCAGCATTGTTGTCTTTTCTGGTACTAGACATTCTGGACTTGCACTGTTCTCTTTCAGCCCTGCCATGGAAATAGTCATTTTCCAAAGGACCTTGTCCCCTTTCAGTGGGGAATGACACAAAACAAGAAATGGACTTTAGCTGTGCCACTTGTTTCCAGGATGCCATTTTTTCTAGGCCCCTTCAGAGGGTGTGTATGGCATATGTAACCCATGCCCACATGCGCAGGCACGCACCTGTGGGTTAGACTGGAAACTCAGGCTCCAGGCTGATGCACAGGCTACGCTAGCCTTTCCCACTCTGTTTGATTTCCCGTCCCAAGAATGAGAGATCTGCCCCAGTGTGACAAGCACACTGTTTGCTCAGTCCTACAACACAAAGAAAGTAGTTCTAGAATGACTGACGAAACAAACTCAGCTCTCACCTCCCAGATGGATTAGTTCAAGATGTGCCGTGATGCTGTCAGTGTTGGCACCAGGACAGAGGGAAAGCAGCAAATGTGAGCGCAGATTTTTCTTTGTTAGCTAGTGCTCCATGTGGGCCTTCCCGCCAGCCTTTTTTTTTACTTTCACTTTTCCCCTCCATCTTTTGCTTATGAGTTGTAAATTACTTTTAACAAGTATTGTGTTTATCAAGTTTTACTGTGGCGCTACTCATGACAACTTACTCCTTCTGACATGATCCAGAACAAGGAGCCTTTCAAATTCCTAACATCCCTGTTGTCAGTAAACCAGATGCAGGTCTCTGGTGTGCCACGGCTGTGAAGTGTGGCTTTTGCCAGTGGTGGTGGCCACATGGTTTCCTGTGGTTCTAATTACATGTGAAAATCACTGGAGGCAAATGAGCCAGGCACTGCAGATTGAGGCCAGCTGACAGGCTCTGAGATGCTGCCAGCCACTCTGCTCATCCCAGTGGGGTTTTCTGGCAATCTCTGAAAACCCCAGTCCCACAAAATAGAAGCATTTATTAAGACAACAGTTTTCCCCAGTGTTCTCTCGACTTTGTTTATGAGGCATTACCTTGAAAACCATCCTGGCTCACCTGAGGTCCAGGATCCTAGCCCTCCTCCCAATCTCCCTCTCTCCCGACACCATCATTCTGCACACTGTGCGAGTCCCTGCCGAGGGCCACTGCCCACTCCCATGACCCCAGCGTCTCTTCCACTCACCACACTCCCACAATGCAGCATGCTTCTTGGTCTGTGGCTTGGCTGTGCCTGAGTAGAGTGTTCTGGGATGACCCCAAGACTCCCAGCTGCAGACTGCCAGAGTGTCGCTGGCCTGTGGCACACAGGGGGCCCGGGGCTCACAGGGTCGTCAGATTCTCCAGATGCAGCGTTCTTCCCTGGCCGCCCCTTCTTCAGTCAAGTCCTGCTAGGGAGATGGCATGGGAGTGAGAGCTCGTATCAGAAGGGCTGCAAGGTGCCGTGGGGTGTTACTCGGTGACATTTTCCTCTTGAACCTCACCCTTCCTGGATCTTTTTCCTTTCACCTGCAGGTGCTGCACATGGAAACATGCTTGTTTTGAGGCCATGGTGCCCCAAAATTACATCAGTTCAAGGCCTCTTTCAAGGAGGATCCAAATAGCAGTGGGACTTCCTGGACTGGATGCCCACTTGGTGCCACCCCTGGAGTGAAGGCCCAGAGGAAGAGGCGTGAGGCTCCACTCGGGGAGAGTTCACAAGCACAATTAAGTTTAGACAGGACATGCCTGCAGGGCACGCTGAAGGTGGGTGGAGCAGCTGGGTGGGACAGGGTACAGAGCAATGTGGAATGCTTTCTGAAGATAGTGGCGCTTGGACGCTCCTCCAAAGGCACTGAGGAGGGTGGGGTAAGGGAAGGAAGAGCAATGCAGCCGCAGGGAGTCCCCACGTGTGGTCCCTGGTTGTGGCAGGAGAGGAGCTTGGTACCTGATGAGGAAGACTCACTCCACAGGGAGGAGGGGGTCCATCTTATTAATAGGAAACCCTCAAAGTGGTCTTGGCAAGGGGGTAAATGATTGAAGTTTTGTTTTCAAAAATGTTTCTGGCCAGGTGTGGTGAGTTTCCCAGAGACTTAAACATGTACAAGGATCGTGGTTCAAGACCAGCCCAGGAAAAGTTAGTGCAAAACCCTATCTGAAAAACAAACTAAAAGCATAAGGACGGGAGGCAGTGGCAGAGCACCTGCCTGGCAAGTGCAAGGCCCTGAGTTCAAACCTCAATAGCACAAGAATAGGTAAATATATTCTGGATAACTGGTCATGGTGTTGCATGCTGGTAATCCCAGCACTTTAGAGGCTGAGGCAGGAGGATTTCAAGTTCGAAGCCAGCCTGCACTACCTAGTGATACCTTCTCTCAAAAAAAGATGGTGGTTGGATTGGCAAGTGGAAATAACTGCAGCCACCAGCCAGTTCGCTGGAGCAGTTACTTTTTACTAGTGAAGCCAGAGGGAAGCTCAGACAGCAGCTGTGAGCGTGAAGGGTTCAGGGGTCATTTCTGATGGATGCTGTCATAGTCTGTTTTCTGTTCCTATAACAAAACACCTGAGTTAGGGTCTTTATAAAGAAAAGAGGTTTGTCTAGCTGGTCGCTGTGGAGGCTAAAAGGGTAACACCAGACTGCCCCATTATTTGGCCTGTGGTAAAGCCCCGCAAACCCAGCCTGCCTGCATTTAGTACAGCAAGAGAGTCAGAAGGGAAGCAGCTGAGTGCAGAGGAAACAGGTGCCCTTCTCGTGAAACAGCAGCATCCACCTCTCCCAGAGCAGGTCCACACCTCGCCTCTCAACGGTCCCCCACCGCGCAACACCTCAACTCTGGTGGCCCAGCTCCCACTGCATGAACCTTTGGTGAATAAAGTACGGAAACACGCCAGAATTTGGAGCCTCCAAATGAGGGGCGGGGGTGGAGAGGGGAGGGTCAGCCTCCAAGGAAGGGGTGAGGGCCCTTGTGGAAACCGTGGAGGTCAAGGCTGGGCGACGTGGACTCAACAGCCTGTGGGTCCCCAGCATCTGTCCATGGAGGAGCATGGTCATCAGGGAAGAGGCCTGGGAATGGAACTCTGTTTCCTTGCGGTGCTGGCGATCGAACCCAGGGCCTTCCACATGCAAGGCAAGTATTCCACCAGTGAACCACACCCTGAGCCCTGACCCATCCTTCCTTCCTTCCTTCCTGTACTGGGGTTTGAACTTAGGGCCTTTCACTTGCTAGGCAGATGCTCTGCCACTGGAACCACACTTCTAGCTGAGAATGGAACTCTGGGAAAGTCCAGCACCTGGACCCAGGCCACAGAATCACCAGTCAGGTGGGAGGGAGCAGGAATGGGGTTCTGTGATGGTGAGGTCAGCCTCCTGTAGAGGCCGCACATTAACAGAACCTGAGCCTGCTCTAGAGCCTCGTGACCTCCTAAGTGTGAAGGACCCCGAGTTAGTCTCATGTCTTACATCCGCGGGGTGTTGCCGAAGGTCCAAGGGTCCACAGTCCCTGGTGAGAGCCACCCTGGCAGGCGCCAGGCATCTCCTTCTCCCACCCTTGCGTCTGCTATCACAGGCCACGCTGACACGGAAGGACTTGGCCACTTGGAGGTGGAGCTCACCGGGAGGGGCATCGATCTCGGGAGAGCAGGATGACATGAGTAATGATGTTTGCACGATAAGATGATGAAAGGCAAAGTCGGGCCAGTGTAAAAAGCTCCGGCCTCTGGGTGGCTCTCAGGGCCCTGGGGCCCGTGCGTCCCAGACAACAATGTCTCACATGTCCTCCAGGCACAGCAGCCCTGCCGGGGGCCGCGCGATTCCGACCTTGACACGTCCAGAGTAGGATGTATGGCCACTGGCTGGCCTTCCATGGGTCTCAGCCCATTCTTTCCCAAGGCCACCGACGGCCACCAGCGTGGGCTGCTCTCTGGAGTCCTGCTCTGGGAATGGGCTGCCGGTGGCTCACACTCACCCCGGCCCTGAGAAGTAAAAGTAGAAAGACAGGGCGGGGAGAGAGTGAAAATGATGCAGAGCAGGTTTTAAAATCCGCAGACAATGGCTGCTGCTGACTGTTTCCTTCACTTTGCTTTGTCAGAAGTGTTTCCAAGAGAAGAGCAAACTCCTTGAGTTTTTCGGTTCACCAACTGCTCACAGCCTTCCCCTCGAGCACATTTGCTTTCACACGCGCGTGTTCGTGCAGCTATGTTTCAAGTTGCACACGCACGCCTTGTGATGGAGTCGTTTGGAGTCTCTGCACTCTTGACCGCTCAGCCTGCCCCTCTTCCAGATGTCCCTGCACACCTGGGGACGTGTGTGTGGACAGCACACGTGGGCTGACGGACACCCCGCCGATGCTGCCGTTGGACTAAGATGACGTCAAACATCGTATATCCTTTTTAATACAGAACACCCTGCCCACTTCTTAAAATTTCCTACCACGCTGGGATCTTCGAAGAGCCCTGGCCAGCTGTGACCTCGTGTGCCTCGTGCTGACGTTAGCCTGGCTTCAGGTTCCACACAGAGGCAAGGGTGCTGCCTGAGGATGCCGGCACTCTTCTGAGCTAGGCTCCTCAGGCCTTGTGAGGTGGACAACAGCCCACCATGTAGGTCAAGGCCCCAGACTTCGCCACCACAAAGGCCCATTTTTAACTTTTGAATGATTAAAGGAAATTAATTTCCAAAAATGAGGGAAACTGTACAAGAGAAAAGAGGTAGGAAAAGTGTGAATTTTCTCACTTGGGGTCTGCAGAACGGCCATTTTGTAACTCTGCACTGCGTTGTTACTTGGCATTCTCTTAAAAATGAGCCTCCCTCCACCCCTCTCCCTTTCTCGGGACAAAGGTCAAACCCAAGTCCTCTGTGACCACTGAAGCCAATGCACAGAGGACGGGTCAGGGGCCATCTTCCTGGCTGCTCTCCTCCTGAGTGGTTGACCTGGTCTCCTACCTGAAGGAGCGAGGCCAGGTGGAGGGAGGGCCCAGATGTGATTTGCCAACCTCTGTGACTCATCTGCATCACCTTGAAGTCCAGCAGCTGTCCTCCATAGCCCAAGATCCAGGTTTGGGTAGTTTCTATCACACCATTGCTACAGTGTTACGCTGTCCACGGGCTATTCTAAAAATGACTAGAAAGGTAAAGCATCATACGTGCACAGTGCCATGCAGTCAGGTGACAACATTTTGTGGGCCATGGGCCATTTACAAGGCCTGAACAGTGGTGACCACAGGCCCAGTTCACAGCCCGCCTCCCCAGTGCCCAGCACCCCTTGGCTTTCCCAACTCTGAACTCCAGTGGCTGCAAGATCAGCCATACCCATTTCTTCTGACTGTTCAGGTAGGGCTGGGAGCACCAGAAATCCTGCTTTCTGCTCCAGAACCAGCTGAGGGGAGCTGTTCTCGGTGCATCTCCTTGCTCATCGAATCCTGTCCTGCAGGTAAGGTGATCCCAGTCCTGGTTTGTCCATGGTTGGGTGGGAGTGTCTCAGGATGCAGGACTGTCATTGCTCACCGGGAAATTCCAGAAACCAGGATGGGTTGGTCCCTCCAAGCACCGAAGGCGGTACAGAGCATGAAACGAGGTCTCTGGTGAAGTCTGTGTGGACCAGATGGGGGTCAGGAACCACAATGCAACAAGAGCAAACCACACTGCTCATTGCTTCTGTGGCCACACACGTCTGTCTCTGTCCTTGACGTGTGGTCTCCCTCCATGTTTTTAGCACTGTGCCAGACACAGTCTCATCAGCTTGCTGACAACCTGACATGGGTCGCAGGGACACCTCAACTCTCACAGCCTGTGATTTATACCCCATTGTGTCCTTCAAAGGACGTAGCCCTGGGTTGATCACCAGGTGGGTTCTGACCTAGACAATCGAAGTGCCTTTGTGGTCTGCAGGCAGAACCTGGTTACCTCTCTCTGAAGGGCAGTCAGGAGGGTCTCTAAATCCATTCTTCTTTATCTGTCCCCAATTTACCTTGAAATCATTGAAGGGTCTATATTAGAATCTATTTTATGATCCTTAAAAGCTGATTGATAATCCAGGATGTTTTTTTCTCACTCCAGGAAAATTATCCTTAATAAGAGTAAAGCAAGGCTTGCTTTACTTTCAAGACAAGACCCGAGGTACTGAGGGCGAGGCTGGATCCCTGTGTCTCAGTCAAGCCAGACATGGGTACCCTCGCACCATAAAACCCAGGGCAGAGATGATGATATTGTGGTTATTGCTTAATTTTGCACAGTCTTGGCCAAAAGCCTGCTTTCCTAGAAAGAGTCAACCCCAAGCAGTTGCGCCCGAGGGTGTAATTACCAGACAAGATGCAAAAGCAATGCCCGAGAAACCAGACTTCCTGCTAAGTACTTACCCAGAGCCCAGAAAAGCAAGCTCCCGTGCTCGGGGCATAAAACACACTTACTTAACTCGTCAAAAATACTACGTGATTATCTGAGATTTATTTTATCCTTGCTCTCCAACACTTGGTAAGAAAAGGAAATACATTTGAATCGGCCCCAGCTGGCCGGCACCTCCACAGTGGTCACCAGCACCCTGGCCCTTTTGGCTACATGGATGGTGAGAGTGTCAAAGCCCCTCTCTGTTTTCTGAATCAGGTCTAGGGGGCCGACAGGGCTGGGTTTCCACTTTAGCCGCAGTGGGACTGAGCTGATAAATCAAGCTCCCGAGGTGTGCTGGCCTCACAGCAGAGCAGGGAGGCCGGGTCTGGGGAAGGTGGCAGGGACCTGCCTCCCACACCTTGCCCAGGAACACTGGGTGACTGTAAGCCAGAGTGAGCTACAGTGCACATGGGACACGAGAGCTTCCCTCCCCAGTTGTCTGAGTGACCCGGGGGCCTTCCACCCCACCGAGAGGCACTGTTAACATAGCTGGCAGGGACACGGAGTCTTCCTCTGCATAGGCTGGCAAGACCGCAGGACCTGGAGTGTCATCATCATCATCTGTCACCTTTCAGGGTCCTGGACTCAAGGACATGCCTGTTGCAGCTGCTCCTGGCACCTGCAGACCTGCTGGGAGTTGCGTCTCACCCAGAGACAGAGCTGCCTGGAGGGCCAGGTCCATCCCAGCCCAGCTACTGTGAAGCAGGTGGAGGAGCGGAAACTGCCATGTGTCCTGCAGGAGAGGGATCACGCAATGAGCTCCCCACCTGGAAGCAGAGACCTAGACTCGGGCCAAAGGGGTGACAAAGCCAGTCACCGCCAAGAGTCAGGAGGTCAATGTGCCCAGCCAGGACGCCAGGGGAGCCTTGGGATCTTCTTCCACCTGTTCCTGCTCCTCTCTGCACCAAGTCCAAGTCACCTGGTTCTGAAGGCCTTAGGGGCTTGCACGGCCCCACAGGATGATAGCAGGAAGCTCTGCATCCCACCGTGGGAAGCCGGAGTGTCCCTGCAGCTTCAGTGGGAACTGCCAACCTGGAGCACTCCACCCACTTAATACCATAATAAAGCGCTTTGTTACCTGTGAGGGAGAGGCCTGATAAAAGCAAAATATTATCACACCATCTGCGATTAGGACGCAGCCGGGCCCTGAAGACAGAGTGACATTTATGAGCAAATATAATTTATTTCTGTTCTCTGATTATGAAGGTCACGGTGGTTTAACCCTTGGGGAAGGCCAAAGACATTATCTGCCCCAATAGGACTGGGAAAGAACACATCAACGGTCATTAAAAGCGAATTACTTTGTTTTACGAAGATAGAAAGGTGAAGGCCTCGAAACTCGAGGTGCAGGTTGTGGGGGCCCCACAGGAGGGAGGCATCTGGGGTGCCCGCAGCAGAGCTGGGATTTGGTAATGACCCACAGTCCACCTGCCGCCGGAGGACAGGGAGAGCTCCCCTGGGCTTCTGGGACACTCGTGGCAGCTCTGGAAGCACCGTGCAAGGATGTGATTCTCTATGCCTGTGGAAGTGGAGGGAAGAATTTCTGAGAGGGACAAAACTGGCCTTTATTTCTGGTTTTAAATGTAGTTTCAAAAGAACCAAAACACCTGGAACAGGTAGCGTCCAGAAACAGAAAGTAGAACAGAGGTTATCAGAGGCCTGTGCAGGGGAGAGTCGTGTCCTGGGCACAGAGCTGATGCTGGGACGATGGAAGTCTGGGGTGCAGACAGTGGTGATGGTTACACACACGGACTGATGCTCTGAACCCCGCTTCAGAGGGTGGAGAGAGGTAGGAGGCTCACAGTCTGAGGCCAGGCCCCTGAGCAAAAATGCAAGACTCTCTTGAAAAATAGCTAAAGCAAAAAACTGGCTGGGAGTGTGGCTGAAAGTGGGAAAGGACCTGCTTGGCAAGCACCAGGCCCTGAGTTCAAACCCCAGTCCAGCCAAAAATAAATTTTAAAGGCCCAAACAATTCTGTGTTAGTTGTTTCCCACCTGCACTCACTGCCACCAAGCCCAAAAGCTCACCCAGGTCCACAGCCAATTGAAAATGGAGACTCTCTTCCCAGTCACCTAGGAGGCGCCATGTGGCTGTGTTAGGAGCTCCACCCAGTGAACAGAAGTGAAAGCCACTTCCTGAGGTCCCTAGGGAGGTCCACACTCATTGCCCCTTGTCCCCCTCACTGGCTGGCTTGTGGAGCCTGAGCCACCATCTTGAACCAGGGAGGGAAACCTGCCTGTTTAAGATGAGAGACAAGATGGGTCCCCAGTGATCACAGGGCCACCAGACCAGCCCTAGACAGCCTGTGTTTACAGGAGAGAGGAATAAACTTCTGTTTGTCACTGCAGTTATTTGGTGGCCCTGTCATCTGAGCCACCTTCATCTTCACACAGTATCTGACACAGTCCTTGGAGGTCCATCAGGCTGTGCCGGGGAACAGTGAGGTTCCACAGCAAGAATACAAGATGGAGCCGGGTGCCGTGGCTCGTGCCTATAATCCTAGCTACTTAGGGGCAGAAACCAGGAGGACCGAGGTTCAAAGTCAGCCTGGGCAAATAGTTCATGAGACCCTATCTCAAAAAAAACGCATCACAAGAAAAAGAGCTGGTGGAATGGCTCAAGGTGTAGGCCCTGAGTTCAAATCCCAATACCATACACACACAAAAATATGGTGCCACTGCCCACATGAGCCACAGCACGGCAAACATTTCCTTTGGGGGCTGTCCTGCACGCCACCTCGGGGAAACCCTGGCCTACGATCTGCTCAGCACAGAGAGCATGCCGTGCTGCCCGGCAAGGTGTCAGCTATCTCTGAGTTACTGAATAAAAATTACTTGAATGGATAAGGCAGCGGTCCAGATGACCATTTGGAGGCCAGAGCTCACTGACTATCTTGAGGGCTTGGCTGGAAAATATGAACCATACCACCTCAGTCCTTCCAGTACCAAATTGCTTTTCCTGGGTACTGAGTGGCCCCAGGCGCAGAGGGAGGAAGGGCAGCAGGGCCTGGGGGTGGGGGAGGCTGACTTGATTGGTTGTCAGCACTCTTTCCCTCAGAGTTCTGAAGTAGGAGGCACCAAGAGAAGTGATTGCCAGGTGTGGCACAGGTGCTGGCCTGCAGAAAGGTCAGGGCTAGGCTGGCCAGGGTGCATGTACCCTTGGCAGGCACACCCAGGAGGACGTGAGACTCCCCAGGGGTGGCCCAGCAGCTAACCTGTGGTGTTACTTACTTTGTGACAGGCCCTTGCCCTTGCAGGAGCCAGGTGCTAGCATGCCCCGTTTACAGAGTAGGACACTGAGGCACAGAGAGGTTCAGCCACTTCCAAGTCACCAGTTGGTAAGAGCTCAGCCCACACTCTGTCTCCTATTCTTGGATTCCAGAGAATCCCAAGGAATCTTTACAAAGACTCTCTCCCCACACCTCTCACTGCCCCTCTCATATGCCTGCTTCACAGACTAGCCTGGGTTTTTTTAGAGGCTTGAACTCAGGGCCTCACACTTGCTAAACAGATGCTGTACCACTTAAGCCACTCTGCCAGTCCTTTTTTGTGATGGGTATTTTTCAAAATAGGGTCTCATGAATTATTTCCCTGGGCTGGCTTTGAACAGAGATCCTCTTGGTTTCTGCCTCCTAAGTAGCTAGGATTACAGGTGTGAGCCACTGGCGCCCAGCTTCTGCTGCTGCCGCTGCTTCTTTTTTTTTTTTTTTTTTAACACTACAGGGTTTGAACTCAGGGCCTTGTGCTTGCCAGGCAGGTACTCTACTGCTTGAGCCTCACCGGCAGCCCTAGTCTGAGGTTCTTGAGTTCTAGTTCTTACAACTCCACAGCCAGCACTAGGACATAGGTACGCCACACGGTGCCAGGTGGATCTGGAGACCGTGGGTTAGAGGGATGCATGTAGGAGGAGGGGCAGGTGTTGGGTTTTTTATTAATTTGTTTAATTAGCTGAAGACCATATATGTCGTGCTTGGCATCCCACAAATATTAAATCATTTAACCCTGTGAAATGAGTCCTCATTTTACAGACAGGGACACTCCAGCTCAGGGAGGTCAGGGACTGGAGGTCCACGCACAGGGTCCCTGCCCCTTACCCCTGTCCTCTCCTCTGGCTCAGTAAGTCCATGCACTGAGGGGACAGGCCTGTATCCTGTCTGAAAGCACAGAAGGGCAGGGAGAAGTGACAGTGGGAGGTTTCTAGGCTTAGAGACCAATGCCTGCAGGGGCCAGTCGGCATCCCTGGAGGAAGAGGGCAGCTGGGCACTGGGTGCACAGTGGATGAGGACAGGTAGCAGCCTCCCTCTCTGGGTCTGGAGTTTTGGCTCGTGCTTCCTCTTGCTGAGCCTCTAAAATGGTAATAACCCCATTTATGTGAAAATCTTGCTTTTCACAAGCAGCCATCTACATGTGGGTTAACACCCTCAAAATTCCCACTCGGGCGGGGGCCTGGCTCAAGCCCGGCCTGGGCCTTGCTAGCACCTACCTAGCAAGCACAAGGCCCTGCATTGAATCCCCAGCACTGCCAGAAATAAGTAAAAATTCGCTCATGCGACTCTGTTTCGTTTTCTGGGATATTTAAACTACCCTTAAGCGTCAGGAACATGTGATCAGAAGTCATTTGTTGACTCAGGATAAACGTCCTGCACAATTCTTAAAGGTCTTCAATCCTCCCAGCCAACCATTCAAAAGCAGCCTATGCCCCAACCCACGATAAGGGCCACACTGGCTCTGTGTTTACCATATTGCACAGATGTGCTAACTTCCTTCCTTCAGCCTTGCTTTACAGTAGTTTGAAACCTTACGCACACACATTGGTTTGTGCACCTTTTACATACACAACTTTCTCATTGTTTTGCTGTCTTTATTTGATTAGCCCAGGGGTTGTCTGCTTTATTTACTAAAGTGTTCCTGATGGGTGCCCCCAAAACTGTGCTGAGTGACTGAGTGCCTGTAGGGACCTTAGTTGGATAGTATGGAGTCTGTTCTGTTGGAGAAAATGCTGCAGACTTGAGGGCGTCACTCTGGGTCACATAGGTACCTGATCTGAGGGTGATCGTGAGTGTAAAGACCTGGAATAAATTAATCATAAGGACACATTGACCTTTCAGGTGTACATGCTGTAAGGTGAGGAAAAGGCACAATTTGCATTTCCCTTACAATAATCATAATTTACAAAAGCATGCTGCAAACTTCCTGTTACATAAAGAACAGAGCCACCCAGTCCGGAGAGCTGGGCCTCTGCTTGCAAAAAGGAACAGCGTAGAGACCACTTGCAGGAGGCAGCTTGGCCGAGGCTTAACCCAAGCCTGGAGCCCAGAGACCCCCTCGAGGGACCTGGGGGCTGTCGGTCAGTCCCTTGCACAACTTCTCTGCAGAACTGACGCTCCCCCACTCCACAGCACCTTTCTTTTTCTTTTCCTTTATTACATTTCAGCATTGCCGAGTACATTCCGTGCTGGGGAGAAATGGGCAAGGTGGGCTGGAATGTTAAACTACTGTAGATACAAAAGCTGCAGACGTTGCGATGACACTGGGGAGCTTTCGGCCTTAACCAGAGGCGCCAGTTCCATGCCCACGCATGGTCCTTTCTCGTCCCCTTCCATCGTCCATGTTTTCCTTCCCCAGCACCCAGGACTCCTGGGCGTTACAGGAGGGTTTTTTTGGGGGGTGGGGGCTGCGGATGAACCAGGGCCCTGTGCGCACAAGCCAAGCGCGCCTCCACCGCGACCCCAGCTCCGGGGGCCTGCGGGACAAAGCCCTGGGGACGCGGCCTGAGCAGCCCGGGACGCCCTGCGCGGCCACCGCGTCCTGAAGCCGGCGGTGGCTGGGACACCCGCAGGTAACTCCGGGCCCCGCGCCCCCCGCCTGACCCCGCGCGGCGCTGGCCGGGTCCCCGGCGAGATAAGGCGCGCGCCTTTGTTCCTCCCCAGCTGGGTAAACCGCGTCCCCGCCCGGCCGCGGCCGCGGGGTGGGGGACCCTTTGTCCCGCCCCGAGCGCCGCCGGGGACAATGGCCCCGAGGAGCGCGCATTGTCCGGCGCGCTGTGTACACGGGGCGGGGCGGCAGGTGCACGAGCGGCGGAATGCGGGGTCGGCGCGGGGCCGGGGGGCGGGTCGCAAGCCCCCGCCGGCCGCTGACCCCGAGGCCGGGACCCGGCGTCCCCGCGCGTGCCGTGGGAGCCCGGGGCGCGGATGGGTGCGGGGAGCCGCGGTTGTGGCCCGCGCGCACCTGGCGCGTGATTTACGAAGTGAAAGTGTTAAAACGAGGCCACCAGCTGGAGCCCGACCCGGCTTTATGCGTTTTATTAGGTGTCCTATTATGGAAACTAAACTTTAATCCGGCCATAAAACCCAAATCTGAAACACATTCGCTTGCGGTGCGCGGTGCGGCGGCCGGGCGCGTCGCCTCCGCGGGGATTCGGTTCATGGAGAGGCGCAGCGCGCGGGCTTTGATCCCGCGCCGCCCGGGCCCCTTCCAGGCTCCCCCCGCCCCCGCGTCTCCAGGCCGCTCCCCAGCCTCGGGCCCCCACCTGGCCAGCCCCGGGGCGCGAAGACCCGACCCCAGAGGAATCAGCCTGCAGCGCGGACGCAGCCCGGCGCTGGAGCCGCCAAACCCCGCTCGGCTGCGGCCTGGCGCTCCTTCAGCTGGAGCAGGTCGGGCTCTGCTTTGTAAGGAAGCAGGGGAGCGGGGAGAGGGGTCAGCAAAAATGGGAGGGAAAGGGGAAAGGAGAGAAGAGGGGGGAGGGAGGGAGGGAGGGGAGGAGGGAAAGTAGAGATTGGGGGTGCGGCTCAGCCATGCCTGAGGCCCAGGATTCAACCCCAGTATGGGGGCTGCGGAGTTGGAGAGGAAAAGGAAAAGGAGAAAAGAAGAAAAACATAAAAACCATCTTCATCAATTTTGTTTGACACCGGGTCTCACTATGTAGCCCAGGCTGTCTTGGAACTCTGGGCCCTCCAATCTCACCCTACCAGAGTGCTGGGATTACAGAAGTGACACACAGGCCCATCTTCCCCACTTTTAAGTGTACAGGACGGTAGTATTAACTATGCACACACTGTCAGGCAACAGACCTCTTGAACTTTCTGCCTTCCCAAACTGAAACTCTGCCCCTATTAAATGCTAACTCCCTCCTCTCAGCCCTCGGCAACCACCCTCTTACTTTCTGTTCCCAAGAGTTTGACTTGCCTAAAATCTGAACCCACAATGGCCTGTTTCACTTACCATAACGTCCTGGTGTCCATCCATGCTGTAGCATGTAACAGATTTTTCTTCTTTTAAGGCCGTGTAACTCGTGTGCTAGCCACCTTTTCATTATCCCTTCACCTGCAGATTGACAGGTTGCCTCCAGCTCTTTTAAGCAGCCTGCAAGCATGCAAATTTCTCTTTAAAGGGTTGATTTCACTTCTTTGAGTGTAAGCCCAGAACTGGGCTGGCAGTTCCATTTTTCATTTTTTGAAAAAAACTGTTTTCCACTTAGCTGTGCCATCTTACACAGTCTCCATGTCCTCATCAACACCTGTTACCTTTTGTGTGCCAGGTTGGTCAACTGAGTGCACGGTGCTACTGCACGGTTTTGATTTACATTTCCTGACGACTAGCGGTGCTGATAGTCCTCTCATGTTCTCGTTGGCCATTTGTACATCTTTGGAGAAATGTGTATTGTAGTCCTTTGCACATTTTAAAGTTGCGTTGTTTTGCTTTTGTTGTTGAACTGTAGGAGTTCTTTATATAGTACTGATATTCAGCCATTATCAGATGAATATAGCTTGCAGATATTTTCTGCCTTTTCCATAGGTTAGCTTTCTCTCTGTTGATGGTTCCCTTTGTGGGGCTGAAGTTTTTTGGTTTGATGCAGTCCCATTTGTCCGTTTTGGCTTCTGTTGCCTGCTTTTGGGTTCCTAGAGCCATAAGCTGCTCTTCCAAACTGACTGAGAAGGACAAAGCTTCTGGGAAGAGCAGGCCCATTCCTCTTCTTTCAGGTTGTGTCTGTGTGTCCTTGATGCAGGTCGCTAACCTGTCCTCTCTGGCCTCTCATTTGCCACTAGAGCTTGGAGGGAAAGGTGAAAGGAAAGGTGACCCTGTCCTGTCATCTGGAGGGCTTATGGAAACTGTTTTCTCGGGTCACAAAGAACTTCATCCACCGGCTTTGGAGAGCCCAGAAAATTTGTGTCAAGGGGGCAGGGGTGGGGCTTGGGTGGAAAGCAGAGGTCAGTTTTGGGTGGGGGGGGTCCTCCATGGGGACCCAGTCCCCTTCTTGCAGTGACAGGGCAGCTTGGGACGGAAAGAGTCGCAGATGGCGGGGGACTTAGGACTGAGTTTTCGAGGGGCACCCACTGCTTAGAGCCAGCAGGCCAACGGTCCCCTGAAGCCTTTCCTCCTTGGGGCTTCAAAGACATTCAACCCCCAGCAGCGGAGGCTCAGGTGCGGTTCGAGACCCGGCTGAGGTCGACCCTGTCCCAGGCCAAGCCGAGTCTGCGACCTTGAGCGCGGCGCCGCGCAAAGCGGACTGAAGGGCCTCGCGACCATTCGTTAGGCGGAATGAATTGTGCGCCGTGCCCGGAGTAGGCCAGGATGAGCCAGTGATTATATTTAAATTTGCTATAATTGATTTGGGGAAGAGCTACTGTGACAAGAACGAATTGATCATTAAATTTATTAGTGAGATAAATTCCGCCGCGATTAAGCGGCTGGCTGGAGATGCTGAGGCCACCCGCAGGTCCCCGAGCCAAACTAGGACCTGCGGTGCTGGAGGACTGGAGGTGGGGTCCTCAGATTGTGCCTTCCTTTAGTTTCATCTTCCTTTTTTCCCAGAAGGAGCTTCGATCCCGATCCCTTGGGGTGGAGGGACAAAACCTCCCGTAAGGCCTGAGACATCCTAAATTCCCTGGCCAGATGTCACACCCTCTCCCAGGCCCCCAGCCTTCCCCTTCCCAGGCTACCCAGTGCTTGGGGTTGGGGGACGCTGAGGCTGGGAAACAACCCCCAGATGTGGAGCCAGCCGGGAAAGAGATTGCTTCAGGCTGAACCTCGCCAATGTGTTAGAAATTTAAGAGAGAGATACGGATGCAGATTCCACACCCCCACCGTCCCCACCCCCGAAAAATCCTCCGTCCCTCTGATTTCCCCACTCTTATTCCTCGGGCTCTCTTCCTTCTCCACTAGTGGTAAACCCAGTCCCCGTCCCCCCAAAGCGCCTTTGGACCCCTAGGCGGCAGAAGGCCCAGGCCCTGAGCGCCCAGCACTGGCTGGCCTGGCTTCCAGCTCCGCGCCCCCGCCTTGGCCGGGCTTGGATTTTGTTGGAGGAGCAGGGGTGATAACGAGCTGCCAGGGAGGATATTAATCTCGCCCGGCTCTGAGGTGGAGGAGTGCCCCGCTCGCCCCGCGGTAATCACCTAAATGAAACGCAGGCCCTTTTGAACTCATTCATCAGCTGGGAGGGAGGGAGGGAGGGCGAGCAGCAGGAGGAGGGAGCTGCTCGCCCTCAGCCAGGTGCGGATGAGAAAGTGACAGGCAGGAGGAAGGCACAAAGAGGGGCAGGAGAGGCGTCCCTTACCAAGGCGTGCCTGGGGTCTCTCCAAACCCAGGACCGGCTACTGGGCCAGCCGTCGGGGAGCAGGACACAGGGTCTGCGCCAGGCCGGTGGGCCCCGCGCGCCGCGGGTTGGGTCCCGCATGTGTGCAGCACGTGGCGAGGGGACCTGGCCGCCCGAGTGATTGATGGTTCACGCGGCTGAGGTTTATTAACCCAGAAACTATTGCAGCCCTGGCGTGGAGCATTCTTGTCCTCCCGGACGACATTTGCACAGATCCAAGAAAATCGTTACTGGCCAGCACAGGGCAGGCTCTGCAGACAGGGCCCGGGTGCAGCAGAAAGAGCAGCACCGCGCAGTGCAGTGCATTCTGGGGAATGTGCGTAATTAGAGCCTTGGGTGGTTCTGTCCCCAAATGCCACTTAAGTCAAATAGTTCAAAAATAGTGCTTCCACTCTGGAGCGCTAACGAAGCAAGAAGATCCAGCAAGGGAACAGGAAGACAAACACGCTATCCAGGGGCAGGCCACTGAGAGTCACGTGACTGGGGTCAGGCGTGAGCCAGGCACCCGGGCACGCTGACACCTGACCTCAGGTGTTATCAATACTTCACACCAGCGACCCATCAGCCTCGGGAATCAGGGTCCAGTCCACCTGAGGAGCCCGGGAGTGAAGGTGGTCCTGACATCCATTCGCGATTCTGCTTTTCACCCTTTTCTGTCGCCTCCCTCCCATCACTCCAAGAGCAAAATACGACGTCTTTCTTACAGCCCCGAAAAGATTGGCACTCTCATCCTGTAAAAAACCAATTTATTTTACATTCCATCCTGGGCGATGGGAGAAGCTAAATAATAATTTAGCATGCATAAGTAGACGTTTCTTTCTTTATATATAAATACAATTTACAAAAATAAAGACAGTACAGTTTTGAGATTTGCAGCAGTTTGGATGCTCATGACATAGCATGGATACATAAGCATAAAACCTTTCTTCTCTTTGCAGTTCTCAGCAGAATGGCTTTTCCAGAGGCCGTTTCAAGTTTCAGAGGTCATTATTTAACACTGTCGGTTTCCTTCTCGGTTGCGGGAAGAAGGAGGCCGGAGCCCCTTCTGGAGGAGTCAGTTCTTTTCACAAGCACCTCCCGCCAACACGACCCAAAATTAAATCGACAAGAACCGGAGTTCAAGTTGGAGCCCGCTGGGTTTCCCTCTGGCTGTCCATGGAGGAGCAGACGAGGCACGGTGGCGCTGCGCCCTGGCCGGCGCGGGGACTCCTACTGCGGCGCGGGCAGGTGGCCGGGCCCGCCGGGCCGCGGGGGCGGAGAGTCGTCCTCCGAGGAGCAGTCGGAGGAGGCGGCGTGGGCGCTGGCGCCGTTACTGTACGGGAAATGGTCCTCGTCGTCGTCGTCCTCGTCCTCCTCGGGGTCACTGTCCCTCAAGTCCCGCATACGGCGGCCGCTGGCTTTGTCCCCGGACCCCGGCGGCCCGAGCAGCTCCTCCTCGCCCTTCTCCTCCGCGCCGCCTTTGCCCGCGCCCCCGCCGCCGCCTTTCTGCTTCTCGGCCTCCTGCGCCGCCTGCTCTTTGGCCTTTTTGCTGCGTTTCCATTTCATCCTCCGGTTCTGGAACCAGATCTTCACCTGCAGGCACAAGCGCGCGTGAGAATCCCGCCACCACCGCCCCACGCCCATGGCCTCCGCAGTCCCCGGGCTGCGCGCGCCCTGCCAGGCGCTTGGGATGGAGGACTTAGGTCCTGGATGGACAGGGACTTCCTGACTTCCTCTCCTCCCCACCCGGTTCTGCAGTAACCCCCTGAGCTGGGTGCTGTGTCCCAGCCGCCCCCCCCCCGTTGGGAACATTTCTACCCGCTCTCTCCCTCTGCGGAGGGACCAGAGCAGGTCTCTGTAAATCTCAGGACGTCCCCTGACTCTTTCTGGGGATAAAACAACAACCAAAAAAACTTCAGAATGAGGAGGGAGGTCCGTAAATGCAGATTCTCGGTCCCTGTCCCAACTCACTGAAACGAACGGAAGGCTCGGGTACAGAACGCCAGCGTCAGCCTGGAACCTCACCCTAGGGGCTCAGAGGCGCGGCCTCGGCTACCCACGACAGCACGGTGACAACACCCCCCATCCCCCGGGGACACCAGGACTAGCTGGGGCGGTGGGACACAAGCGCACCTGGGTCTCGGTGAGCATGAGCGAGGTGGCCACCTCGAAGCGCTTGGGCCGCGACAGGTACTTGTTGAGCTTGAACTGGTGCTCCAGTTCCAGCAGCTGCTGGCTGGTGAAGGCCGTCCGCGGCCGGCGGCACTTCCCCAGGAGGTTGGACTGCGCCTGGGCTGCGGGTGGAAAGGGCGTGAGGCCGCGCCGGGCTCTGCCTGTACCCCATCCCCAAGGGCCACCGCCTCCCAAGACGCCACCGCCGCCCCCAAGACTACACCGCGGAGCGTTCGCTCTAGAAACGGGATGCTGTCCCCTGGACATCAGCGCTCATTCCCCAAGGAGCAAGGAACCCAGAACCCACGTGGACTCCGAGGGTTTAGGTTCCATGAGACCCTGTTGCCTGGGCGCTTCTCTCCATCTGGTGAACACTGGTAGGAAGAGGGTTGACCCAAAGGCAAAGGAGCCGTGACCAGAGGGACCAACCTTGTCCTCTCTCCTCACTGTGCCTTCCCCAACTCAGTCTCAAACACACACAGGTTGGGGAAAGGTTCATTTGTCCTGCTGTTTCCCACCACCATCTTCTTCAAACTGAAGAGGAGGAGGGGAAGAAAAAAATAGAAGAAAGAAGAGGACCAAATCTGGAGTCTAAATAATGCGTATTAACCAAGACCCTCCCACATTTCAATGTTCTGTCTTGCTGAGCCCCCTCCTCGGAGTGCAGAGGGCAAACCCTAGGGAGACTGGAAGCCTTTTCAGGACATCTCTCATTACCCAAATTAAAGGCCCTGGCGTGGGCGGATCCGGCTTTCTGTGTGTTCCAGAAGGCCAGTCCAGCTTTATTTACATAATTTCGCACGGTTACATCACAGAGAATTTTATGACCTCAAAACGAGACTTCCCTTGATTTCCCAGGAGTCTGACAAGTGTTAGACAATAAAAGAAAGAAAGCAAAGGAAAGAAAGAGGCCAGCCCCAGGCCTGGATGAGCTCAGGCCCCCCTGGGATGGGCAATTTGCTTTATAGGAAGCCCACGCCCCCTGCTTTAGTTAAACAAGGCTCCGAATTCCCAACTTGACAATACATTAGAACTCTAATTAAAACACTGGCTCCGAAGGGACCATTTGGGAAATGCCATCCAACGGGAAGAGACGACCAATTAAAGCAAAGTAGGCAGGTTTTCCTGGAGCAATAGAAAAGGGTCCCTGCAACACATTCCGCTGTCATCCCCCCCTACTTCATTTCTTACTGCCCTTTAGGGTCTAGTGCTCAGATTCCTTTTCCAAACTCAGAACTCGCTATGTTTTTATTTCAGCAAAGATTAGGAATCAGAGATGGATAAGGTGTGTTGGCAAAAGGATCCCACTTTAAACAATTTGGAGTGATTGTAGGCTCCATGAAGACCCTCGGAAGGGGGATACCTTGGGTGGCCAGGGAACCTGGCACTGTAGGAGGCCAGTGTGATGACCAGTGGTCTTAGGGCTGGTCAACTCCCGACTACAGACAACTAAGCGTCCCTGGCCATGGGAACTGCATAGCACATGGACCTGGAGTCCTTCCAGTGCAGGGTAAAATAATGGAAATCCACGGGTGACTTCCATCAGAAAAGGTTGCTGGGCTCCTCAGCCAGGCTCAGAGGGTGCCTTGGGCTTATGGGACAGGATCAGGTGACTTAGTGCTGCAGCCCCTCAACTGAAGTTAGGAAGAAAACATCTTTTCTGGGATCAATAGTGCTGATTCCAAGGGAAGGGATGGGTGGCCTTTAAGGCCTTTTTTGGAGCCAAGCTGGGAAAACCCAGGTGGCTGTGGGCAAACAGTGTGCAAGCTGGGATTCTCTCACTCCTGTGTGACATCTCCAGCCTTCTGGGGTCCTACCTTTTCTCTGTTTAGTCACAACCACAGCTTCTAGCAGAGGAATCTGAATTCTAGCAAGTGTTTACTTCTGTTTTCTTTTTTGCTTTTTTCGCTCTCGTGCCTGCATCTCTGGAGTCTAAACAAATTCACTCAGACGGAAACAATGGGGTCTCTTTGTTTGGGTGTTCCGGCAGCTGAAAGCGTAAAGCCTTACACATCTTCTGCTCTTGCCTGACTGGAAGGCAACTGACCCTGGTGAGGCTCCCGGTGGGAGACCCGAGTCTGAGCGCCCCACAGGCCGTCCTGCTCCAGCGTCGTGTGTGCCAGGAAAGCCTGAGCCAGTCCAGGGTTCTGCGGAGTGTCCTGCCGGGTAGGCGAGGAAGCTGCCGCAGTCCAGAGGCTCTGGTTTGGGGGTGGCTGGGCCTTCCCTGTCCCCCCTGGGGGAGGAGCTCACTACCACATTGGGCTCTCCGAATGCCCTAGCAGACACCTGCCGCTTGGCTCAAACCAGTTCTCTTGGACATCGTAGACAGACTCTGCACCCATCCAGAAAAGGCCAGCGCCCAACAGGGGCCAGGGGATTGCCTAGGGCCTGGCCTTGCAGTCCTGGCGTCCTGGAGCCCCTTTCTCTCCCTGGCTGCTCCTGGATCTCCCTGGAGAAGAGCGGTATCTCTAGAGCCCATTATGGGGACGCTGGCCAAGTTCGTTTTCCCAGTGATGAGCCCCTAGTTTTGGTGAACCCCCATTCTCAAGCCTGCCCAATTCAGGGCGCACTTTGGCTCGCCTTCCCCGCCACTTCCTTCTCTAGCCTGCAGGTTAATCATTAGATTTCAGTCTCACACCTCCAGCTGTCCCTTCTCGTTACGAGAGAAAGGGAAGCTAAGGCCTGCGCGTGGCCATTTTAATAATTGGCCACCACTTACACCGCGGAGGCTCGCAGGCCCGGGGCTGAGCCGAGGCGGCTTCGCGGCTCTTCCGCAGCTCGCTGGGAGCCGAGGGCAGAGAGGAAGGAGGTGCGGAGGTGGAGGAGGATGCGCGGGTACTCACAGTTGAAGTCCGGCATCTTGGGCAGTATCATGCCCGCGGTGGACGCGCGCAGCCACTGGTCCAACTGGAAGGTGCCGGCGCCCAGCTTGATGGGGTCGGCGGGGTGCGCGGGGTGCGCGCCCTGCACCTGCGGGTACGAGTAGGAGAGCGCGGGGTGCTGGCCTGCCAGCGCGGCCGCCGCCGCCGCCGCCGAGTAGCCGTAGACCGGGTGACCGTAGAGCGCGGCTTGAGCTGGGAGGCCCGCGCCGCCCTGCGCGCCCCCCGGATGCAGCCCCAGCGCCAGGCCCCCCGCGGCGGCGGCGGCGGCGGCGGCGGCTGCAGCAGCGGCGGCGGCGGCACCGGGGTGCGCGTGGTGGTGGGGACCCCCCGGGCCACCGCCCGCGCCCCCGCCGCCGCCGCCCGCGCCCAGGAAGCCGGGCTTGGGCAGCAGCGCGCAGTGCGCGGCCAGCAGGCGCGGGGGCGACGGGCTCTCGGCCCGCAGGCGGTCAGCGGACGCCGGCGGCTCCGAGGACGCGGGGCTGCAGCTCCCGCTCGCCACACTGCTCGCGCCACCGCCAGTGCCGCCGCCGCCGCCGGGGCCAGCCGCGGCGGCCGCGAGCGAGGTGACCAAGGCCAGCGGCGCGCTCTGAGCCGAGGCGGCTCGCGGGGGGTCCACCGCCAGCAGGGCGTCGATGCGGAAATTTTTGGATTTTTCCATCGGCTCCGTGGGGCTGGCGATCAGGGCCGGGTGGTAGACGAAGCGGCCGTGTGCGAACTCGTGGAGTCTATGCGTGGCGGTGGCAAGTCCCCGGGCTTGGTATTGTTAGTGTGATTATTTGCCAATAATCAAAGTCCCCGCCGGAAACTCAGCTCCGGGCGACCATGGTCCGGGCGCCTCCTCCGAGCGGGCCCCGCCCGGGCCGCGCTCCCACGCGCTCGTGCAAACTCCCACGCGAGCGCCTCGGCGACTTTGGCCCGGGAGCCTCGCTCTCTGCGCTCCAGCGCTTAGGCGACCGCGCCGAGGCCGCTGGCGCCGAGCTGGGGACCCGCGCCCCTCCGCACACTTGAAGCTCAGCGCGGCCTGGGATTGGCGCTCGCGGCGGGGGCCCGAGGAGGGGCCCGGGCCCGGCGATTGGCCGAGGGGCGCACCTGTCACCGTCCCGGCTCCTGCCGCCCCGCCCCTGCGCCGCCAGGTCCTAAGCAGCCCGGGGTGGCCGGGCGGGAACAGCGACGGCGGTTGGCAGACTCAGAGGTTCAGCATTCCCGTGGGTGCAGAGAGAGGCGCGAGCGCTGGCAACCCTGAGTCCCCGGGAGCCCCCCAAGGCCGCCTGAGTCTCGCTCCCGAGGCTCCTTGTGCGGCTCTGGCTCTCGCCACGTCGGCCAAAGCAAGGCGTCTTCTGCCGCCTCCTCTCCGGCACTGGAGTTTGTCTACTTCTGCCTTGGGGAGCCGGGTGGCTCTGAGTGCCCAAGGCTGCGCCCAGATTGGCTGCTCTGCTGAGCGATGACCGCACACTGACGGCCATTCGGTTTCCCAAGTCCTCCAGCCCTGAGTCTTAGGGCGCAGCAGGGGTGGTTTGCGCCCCTGTCTCCAGCCCTCTGCAGGTCGCACCTTTTATTTCGCTCTGCGAAGACCCTGTGTTCATAAGCGGGCGTGGGGGGGGGGTCAATGTACATATGAGCGTGACTCTGCCTTCCTCAAATCCTTGCTGGGAGCCCCCGCCCAGGTCAAGCCGGAAAGGGCAGAGTCTGCGGTGCCCACAACGGCTTGGCTGTGGGTCACCCACGTGCCATTGAGCTGGACCTCAGTGACAAAGCTCTTTCCGTGGGCATGCAGGAGACAGGCCCACTCATCTAGGCCCTGGAAAGCCAGAGTTTTCCCTGAGGCTGGCTCCTCGGATGCCACCAGTCCCCAGGAAATGTAAGCTCTTTCCTCCTCCTGCCGGCCACATCTTGGAAAATCAGCAGGAAAGGGTTTCCCAACGCTGAGCAAGGCAGAGGAATGAGACTCCAGACTTCATCCTCCACCATACACATTTCAAATATTTACAGTAAAACCACTTCCAGGGAAGTTTTTCCTTTTTTTGAAGCTGAATCAACAGGCAGGTCATGAAGTCAAGCGCCCTCTAGCACGAGGGTCTGTCAATAGCTCCATTAGACCTCTTCCCCAAACAGGGTGGCAAAGAGGGAGTGAAGCCAGGTGTTCTATGCAGTTGAGAGGTGAATGACAGACCCCGGAAGGGAGCCTGGAGAACAAGGGACCCCATAGAAAACCCGTGCCAGGTAAACTTTAAAAGTAGCAAGCCAGGGATATTTAAAAGGTAAACATAAGGACCATGCAATTTCTTTTCAAAAGGTTTTTTGCCTAGGTGAGACTTGGAACAGTGACTTGGGTTGGCAGTATTTTTTTTTTCACTATGACTTATGACTGAGGCCAGTTTTGAGATACACAGTACTGGTTGGAAGTCCAGGAGAATAGCAACATCAACTTTGAATAAATGTTACCCAGCTTTGCAAAAGCTAATCACTAGTAAATAGAAATTCAGTGTTTACATTGTATTTGTCTGGTCTGTAGAAGATATTTCTTCAGGGTGATAAAATGCAGTCCTGTCTCTAAGTGGGTGTTCATTTCCTGAACACCTACAATGTGCTACATGCTTTCTGTAATCTGTAATTATTTTCCTTAACCTTCACTATTATGGTATTTTTTGTTTGTTTTGGCGGTACTAGGGTTTGAACCTAGGGCTTCGCACTTGCTAAGCAGGTGCCCTACCCCCTGAGTCAGGCCCCCAGCTGGGATTTTTATCATCCCAGCTCAGCACAGTTAAGCCTCAGACTTGAGACTGGGACCAGATCTGACTGCAGAAGCTACGCTGTCTCTGAGGCTTTGGGTGACTGCCCTACTTCCCCATCCCATCTGTCCCCATGGGCAGATGGGATACTGAGATTCTATGCCCCCTGTTCTGGGCTAGAAGGCCTGAGTGGGAGAGTAAGGATGCTGGGCTGCCTCCCCCTCCCCAGGGCCTAGTAGAGTCTTCGCCTCTCCTCCCACAGAAGTCTGGCTGTAAGGCTGACCTGACTTTCCCTCGATCTGATTGCCCCATCTGCTGGGGGCAGGTCTGTTGGTCCCAAAGGGTATGATTTAAGAGGCAGGAGGAAGGGAGTAGTTGCAAATGAATTTCCCAAGATGGATCTCAAAGAGCCTGCCACTGTCTCTGACCCAAAACAACCAAGGTTGTCTTGGTTGATGGGAGGGTGCATTGTCTAGACTCAGTAAAGTCACCCATTTGCTTCACAAAATCATTCTGTGTTTTCAACACTCCCAGAGGTATTTGACACACCCTTTTTATTCTTCCGTGAGCATGCGCTGAACCCCTTGGATAGCCACCCTGCTCTGCCTGGATCAGTTGAACTTTTGTGTGTGTGCGTGTGTGTGTGTGTGGTACTGGGGTTTGAACTCAGGGCCTATACACTTGCTAGGCAGGTGCTCTACCACTTGAGCCATTCTCCCAGCTGGATCAGCTGAGAACACCTGCCACATTCACTGTCCCACGCCTAGTCCCTCACCTGTGGGCTGTGTGAGGCTATCCCAGAGGGACCGCAGAGCAACTTTGCAGTCAGAGCTCTTGGACTTGGACTTACTCCTTTGTCTGGAAAAGTGAGGAGTGGGCCAAATGGACTCTGTAGCCAAGGGACTTGAACATGATTGGGTATTCTGTTTCTGCTTGAGAATACTTTAACTCATGATGGGTGCCCTACAAAGTGTATGGAGGAAAGCAGGTGTGGGGAAAGAAGGGGCTATCTTTGTGTGGTTTACAACGTGTGAAGTGAGCATGCTGGGTCCCTTCCGGTTCCTAGTGTCTATATTGACCCAGCCCAGCTGGCTTGGGGGCCTGACTGGAGTTGGGCTAGGGGCTTGGGAAGGGCTGCAATGAGAGATCAAAGGTCTTGTGAGCAGTATTCCCAACCCTCTGTCTCCAGGTAGCTTCACTCTGGCAGCCCCAGGGGCAGAATTCACCCTGAGAGAGCAGGGAGAATGAACTCTCCATTCCAGAGGGAGGCTGGGACGATCTGGTGAGCCTTTCATCAGCTGGTCCCACCAAGGCTCCTCCCTGCCCAGCACGGGGTCCCTTTTTGAGGGTTAGCATTGCTACTGAATACTGCTTGCAATCAGGATTCCTGTCACTACTTAGCAAGGTGGCTGGTGATTCATGCCAACAACTTCAGAAGAAAAAAACTGTTGTGATCTGTCTACTTACAGCTAGCATTACACATGATGCTGGGAACCTGTGAGGTTTAGAGCAAATGTACATTCACATATTCACAGAGGGAAGGCAGGCGTCATTCCTTCACTTGTCATTTATGTATTGCTTCCCTCCATGTGGAATGTGGCAGGTACAATAGTCATTAAGTAAGGGTGAGCATGGAGGTGCTTGCTGTAGCTGAGGACTGAGTAGAAGACAGGCTTTCCCTGGTACAGTCCTTGGTGTACCTGCCACTTTCCCTCAGCTGAGGCTTCTAGAACGGACCTTGGACCTTCCTAGGACCCCCCTTCAGAATGGCCTGGTCTTTCCTGTTGAAACTCCCTGGGAATCAGCTCAGTTCAAGTTCAGTTTAACTTTTCCAGGTTTCCCTTCAGGAAGATGAGGCTGGAGGCTGCTGTATGAACAGCCAGAGGCCAGGACAGAAGTTCACAGTGGTGGTGAGACTTATCTTGGGCTCAGGAACCAGCTTGGGAGGGTGTGGAACGGGAGGCAGGAGAACGTGACCAGGCTCGCGTGCGCTTTTTCAACGTACTCTCAGTGAAATTCTACTCAAAAGTGTACGGATCCACAGCACCGGGAAGGGGTCTGGGTCACCTGGAACAGTTTGTCTATGGCGACGCGAAGAGGTGGGTATGTGAAACACTAAGCCAATCCCGCGATAAGTATGCCTATTGTGGTTTCCCTTCGCAGCGACCAACTTGCGCCAACACACCATGGGGTTCCCTGCATGACCTCGCCAAAGGGCAGTCAGTCCCGCAAGAGTCCTGCTTACCCCTCATTTTCCCTTACTCTTTTGATCTTTGACTTCCTTCTCTAGACTCCTGTCCCCGAGATTGCAGCCTCCACATGCTTAAAGCTGCTGGACAACCTGAAAAATCATCTTCTCCGGAACATGACGCGCGTAACCCGAGGTGGTGATCACAACCTCCTCTCGAGTGTGTTTCACTTTCCTTACTTCTGTGTCATCTCCCCTTACCTGTGTGACGCTCGTCTATGCAATTCTCTCTCCAAAGGTGCAGCACACTCTTCGTTATTTTGTCTCGCTGTGTCCACCCTACCTCTCGAAGGATACACTCTTATTCACATCTCTCAAGGTTCAACACGTGAGCGCCTAATAGTGAACGACACGGCCCCATGCTCTCATACTCTTCCCAAGAGGCGACAAGTCACGCTCCGCCGCCGAAACCGGCAACACCACCTTGGTGTGGCACCTAGTATGTGCCTCCTCCAGGCAGGCCTGTGATCCCACTGCTGCTGTTCTATCTCTCTCTAGGCCAGCGCCCACACTAAAGCAATACGTGCGGCTCAACCCAAGCTGGCCTTGGTTAGTAAGCCGCCTGGCACAGGACCAATTTGCACTAGAAAACATCGTAATAATATTGTTCAACAAACCTGCAAACTACGTGGAACCCAGCTCTTTAGGTTGTGCTCCGATAGGTTTAACGCGCTCCAAGGG